ACAAAAAGAGGGTAAAATTTGAAGATGCGTTTTGGAGGTCCCAAAAATCGGAAAAAAGTACCGTTTTGACACATTTTTCGGACGATTTTTCGCTTTTCGGAAGTCACAAAATGCTGTAAATTACAACATTTTTGCGTTTTAACGTCGTTGGCGGGAGCCATGCAAAAACGCAGAAAATGCTGTAAATACCAGTACTTTTTGGACCCGAGATGCACAAAACACTGCAAATACCAGTGTTTTTGAAAGCCAAGCAAAAAAACATTGTAAATTACAGCATTTTTGGCGGGTTGATCGCAAAAAATGCTGGTATTTACAATGTTTCTGCAATTTAAAGCAAACGTGGAAGGCACGAAACACTGTAAATAGCGGTGTTTTGGCAACTTTTGGACGCCGAAACGCTGGTATTTACGCAGTTTTTTGCTTGTGACGGGGCCACTCCCCTGTAAATTACAGCATTTTTTGCACTTTTTGAACCGATTTTTTGTCTTGATGAATGCAAAAAACGCTGGTATTTACACGTTTTTCAAAAAATCGAAGATCGTGATGTGAACGAAACTCTGTAAATAAGAGTGTTTTAGCCACTTTCGGGGACTAAAACTGTGGTATTTCCACGGGTTCTTACCATCTCACAGCACAAAATGCTGTAAATTACAACACTAGGCATAGGCCAACATAGCCTCAAGATGGGCCAACATAGCCCCAAGATGGGCCAACATAGCCCCAAGATAGGCCGCCGACCCTCAGCATGTCATGTTCGCAAGTTCAGATGACATCCCCCTCTCTCTTTCCCTCCCCCGACCCCTACCGGCGCCGGCGTGCGAAGCTCTACAATATTTCTCATACAAAAATTCATCGCAGTCATCGCATCCTATAATTCCTCCAGTGGAACCTGAGTTTTTTGCACGCTGCAAACCCAGTGGACTGACATCCACCGAGATGGGGCTGCCACTGCCTCCTGGGTGAACAATCGCACTGGCAGAGTCAAGAATATGAGTTCCTTCAATAACAATATGAACAATGAGAAATGTGTGTATATATAATATATATATATGTTAAATAAAAACCTGAAGACTTCAGAAGACTTCAGAAGACATGAATTATGACACATAATATGGTTTCTCCAGATCTATGAAAATAATTGATGGGTTGGAATCTGCTTCGTTTGCAAATACTCATATCCGTCCTTGATCGCTGAAGACTTCAGGCCCTTTCTGAAAGGCAAGGGAACCTAGCCAAGCTGCACCTATTTCTACTAGCTTCCGTAGCATCAGCTTCAAGCTGAAAGAACAAGGCAACCTGTTTCTAGTGGTCCATTTTAACCAAAAAAGTTTAACCAGTTTAAAGTGAGATTTAAATGGGAATTCACCCGTAAGAATGGACATGAGTTGGAGCTTCCAACTTTGGGGCCACAATCTGTGCCAGGTTCACGAATAACAGCCCGAACGAATTCAGACTTGTCAACCTCGGTCGAACATTGTGGCACCCATGATTCCATGATCCATCAGGGTTTTTTAAGAATACAACAATGTTCCAATTGCCAGTCCACAAATGACCAGATCGAGTCAAAAGTCAGTACTCCACATTGCCAAACACACTTTATAGTCCGTGTATGTAACATGCCTGTCTTCATTACAATCTAACTCTTCAGCGTCCTATCCATGTCTTATCCCAATCTCCAACACTGAGATGCCAAACGAAACCCGTCTTGTCTTTGTCCATTTTCACCAGCACGGAATAGACTCGATCCTGTTTTTGAAAGCGAGGCTATCTTTGCTGCTGGAGTTTCAGAGTCTCCAAACCTACTTTATCATTGTTTATACTCAGAGAAGCAGTACAGAATGGCCAGTTTCACGGCGACACAGGTGAACTCAGAGTTCAGCTGGCTGTTGAAGTCGTTTGAAACTCAAAACCACTTCGCTTTCTCTAAAGCAAAGTATCCCAAGATCCACGGCATGCCATGGCCTCTTCAAGAGCGGCATTGTTGATGGCCAAGGCGCTGCTGCGTAGAAGTGGCCGGAGCCTCTGAGTTTTCTGTTCCGACGGGTTTCCCAAAGTAGTCCAAAACGTGTGAAAATGGAGGGTCTTGGGCCTAAAAGTATGAAAATTGAAAAATGTAACCTTTAACAGCGTTGAAAACTATGGCAAAAACCGACATTAAGACTATGATTTGTATTCTGGCGCCTGGCCGGCCGAAGGTGGGGCCAAAAAGGTGGGAAAAGTCGGAAAAATGAGAGTTTCAGCAAGGTTTCAGAAGGGACGTTTGGGAATTTTCCTGTTTCGACGGGTTTCCCTAAGTTTTCCAAAAACGTGTGAAAATGGAAGGATGAAAATGGAACATTGTAACCTTTAACAGCGTTGAAAACTGCAACAAAAACCAACATTAGGACTATGATTTGTCTTCTGGCCCCTGGCTGGCCGCAAGTTGGGCCAAAAAGGGGTGGAAAAGTTGGACAAACGGTAGAAGTTGAAAAACAATAGGTTTAGCAGGATTTCAGAGAGGACGTTTGGCAGTTTTCCCGTCTCGAGGGGGATAAAGTAGCCTAAATAAAGACTATGACTTATGTTCTGGCTTTGGCTGGCTGCAAGTTAGGCCACGACGGTGCAAAAAGTAAAAAAAATCGGGGTTCAGCCGAAGCATGCGGCAATTTGCCTATTTCAATTTTTTGGTTTCCTATTCAATGTTTTTTCTTCCTGCGTTTGGTTGGAAGTGCGCGCAGTGCGCTCTCTTCCGCTTGCACGTGCCATTCTTTCCGGGAACATAGTTGGCCGCTTGGGGTTGCATGCTTGCTTCGGATTCTGCCTGACTCGCGCTGCAGGTAGGGCACGTGTGCTGGTATCTGCGCACCGTCACCTGACCATTGCGAACGCACGCGAACGCGAAAGGTATTGTCGCACATATACCGGTGATCGATTTGGCCAGTCAAGATGGTGCTCGCAACCGTGCCGCTGCAAAAAGGGCATGTGTAGGATATGCGTTGCTTTCGAGCTGTTGCTGGTGCAGCGGTTGCCGCTGGTGGATTGCTCAACGGTTTTGTGGGTGGCGTGTCAGAATGGAAATATATGCCGGGGTTGGCGGCAGGGGGCAGCCCTTAAATTCGGCTCCTCTGGCTCCACACGAGTGGCCTCCCCCACGAGCGTCCCAGAGCGACTATAGAGCTCTATGGTGAGGCGCGCCCCAAGCCGCCGACCCTCCGACACCGGGCCCCGAAAAACACCAAAAATCCTTCACTCCGCCTAAAAAAAAAAACTTTTTGGACGGAATCCGGGTCGCCCATAAGCGTTTCCAAGAGCATTTCCCCCTCCCCCCGTTTTGAGGGCACCTAAAATCGGAAAAAATGCCGTTTTGACACATTTTCGGGCCCACGCTTTTTAGCTTTTCGAAATTAACAAAATGCTGTAAATTACAGCATGGTTGCGTTTTAACGTCTTTTGCGGGAGCAATGCAAAAATGCAGAAAATGTTGTAAATACCACTACTTTTTAGACCAGAGACGCACAAAACATCACAAAACACTGCAAATACAAGTTTTTTTGAAAGCAAGGCAAAAAAAAAACACTGTAAATTACAGCGTTTCTTGGCGGGTTGATCGCAAAAAATGCTGGCATTTACACGGTTTTTGCAATTTCAAGAAAACGTGGAAGGCACGAAACACTGTAAATAGCTGGGTCAATGCTGTGTCTTGGCCACTTTTGGGCACCGAAACGCTGGTATTTACGCAGTTTTTTGCCCGTGACGGCGCCAAACCCTTGTGAATTACAGCATGTTTTACACTTGTTGAACCGATGTTTTGTCTTGATGAACGCAAAAAACGCTGGTATTTACGCGTTTCTCAAAAAATCGAAGGTCGTGACGTGAACGAAACCTTGTAAATAACAGTGTTTTAGCCACTTTCGGGGACTAAAACTGTGGTATTTACGCAGGTTCTTGCATTCTTCCACAAGAAACAACGTTGCAGATTGAAACTGGACGACGGCGTGACCCGAAAGACAGATGGAGGGAGACGCACAGAAGCTTTTACACACACAGGGGGCTCTTACACAGGGAAGCCTTTACACAAAGGAGCTTTTTACACACAGAAGGTTTTACACAGAGAAGTCTTGACTCTAAGGAGCTTTTGCACACAAACGTCTGGGAGCTTTTACACACAGAAGCTGTTACACAGAGAAGTCTTTACACAGAGAGCTTTAACACACAGACGCGTTTGCACACAGAAACTTTTACACAGAGAAGCCTTTACACAGAGAGTGTTTACACACGGAAGCTTTTACACACAGAGAAATCTTTACACAAACGCGCTTTCACACAGAGAAGCTTTCACACACAGAAGGAAGCTTTTACAGTACTTTTACACAAAGAAGTCTTTACACAGACTGGTTTTTACACACAGAAACTTTTACACACAAAAGCTTTTACATAGAGAAGTCTTTGCACAGAGGCGCCTTTACACAAAGTAACAAGTTGAAATTGGCAGCTGTTCTTTAGGAAATGGAAGGTCGAGTAATCCGGCGGAGCCGATGATGAACGTCAGCTCAAAAATATGTATAATTATGTATACATATTTTATATATATATATAATCTCATATAATCAATTATAATCATATATCATGCACATCATAGACTTGCTTACCTGACGGTGTAGAGTACTCCAAATATCCTTTAGTAGAACCTTTTGTCAGCAGAAACAAATCGAGATGAATTGCCAGATTGGCATCCCACCATGACACCGAGATCTTGGCTCTTGATAGCTTAGCTTGCCATCACCTCAGAAAACGCAACTGTTGTACAACAGAAACAGAGTTTGCTCTGAAAAATGTGGCCCCAGGATAATTTTCAATGACTTTTTGAAATCATTTTCGACCCCCCCCTAGGACTCAAAGGGGAATATCACGTACAAAGAAGATTGTGGAGGGACTAGAGGGGGGCGAGAGGGGTCGAGGGGTTCAGAAACGAAGCGGTGCTCAAATTGACGGCTTTGCTTCTCAATCTTTCACCAAGATGCGATTCCGATCGATCAAATTCCACGCAGCTTCTGCCTCGCGATAGGGTTTCCATCAGCATCCATCTGCAAGAATCAAATCTGACCCAAATGGCAGCATCTTAATCACTGCAAATCGAAAGTTTTGCCAGCACCTCTTGAATCCATCGTGTGTTGCCCATACCATGGGCCGCTGGACACTCAGATTTGCCAACGCCTCCTCCTTCGAAGAAACATTGTCTGCCATCCTGACCAAACGGCAGGATGAAACCGACGCAAGCACACGTTGGTAAAAGAGTTCCTCTTCTCTGGCAAAAAGAACCAAAAAATAACCAAACCGTGAAGTTGAGACGAGTTGAGCAAAACTTGACACCATCCAGACTTCGACACTTGGGAATCTTTGCAGTTGTCTGTTTGATTGGGAAAGTCTGGGCTCCACGGCAGCATCACCGCACTACTATGCAGTTGGTCGGCCAGCTTCCGCGACCTTGACAGACTCGCTTTGCACCGACAGCACCGCTGCGGTGAATCTGAGGATGCGAGCAATGCATTTTCATACTGGATCAAGAAGGCCACATAGTGAAAGGTTTGAACCTCTTCTGACCTCGGAGGGCGGAAATATCTGGATGCAGGAAGAAGAAGAAGAAGAAGTGATAAGCGTGCATGTCTATACACAGGCATGTGCTGTGCAGGCACCCTCTGTGGAAGCAAGGAAATACTAGATACTACTAGATACACTCCCCCTATTTGTACTTATTGCGCGAAGTGAGGCGTAATGTTGAAGGCCAAATTGTGTGGAACTGTACATCAGTGTATTCGTGTTACAGAGTCCACACTTGGCGAAGCCAGGCTGATTCAGAGACCAAAATCTGTTCGCTGCGATGGCTGTCTTCTGTACGCTGATGCTATTGGTTGTGCTCTATCCCATACCTTCCACATTGGCTTTCCCTGGGTGCTCAAACGCATCAAAGCCAAGTATGATAGGCATCAACCAGTCCTTGATAGCCAAGCAGGAAACATCAGGAAACCACACTCTGCACAGTCAAGTCAGAACTTGTCCAGTGAAAGGAGGTTTATTGGAATGAGTCCAAAACTGTCAACAAACCTGTGCAAATTGGAAGAGAGGTATCCCGGCGCATGCTTAGCATATAGAGGCCCATTGCACCCGTCATCTATTTTCCCCACCTGTCAGGTGGAGTCTCTGGAGCCAGCTCTCTGCATGAGCCCCTACGGACCCGAACCCTATGGCGCGCTTGCCAGTTTTTTTGGGCTCCTACGGACCCGAACCTTACGCCAGATATAATGCCTAGTAGAATGTCAGAATATCATGTCAGGTATAAAGTGTCAGGTAGAATGCCAGATAGCGTGTCCGGTAGAATGTCAGAATATATGTCAGATAAATGCCAGACGAAGTAATTACCCACCTTTCAGGCAGATCTTTGAGGCCTTGACCCAGGGGAATTCATCATCTGACACCACCTCGAGCGCGGTGGAAAGATTGGAAATGGAAAGTAAAAGAAGCCACTGGTAAAACGGTTGAACTCAGCAGATCTCAGCATTCTCCAGGATCGACTGGAGCCAAGACATCCAGTTGTGCTGGTCAGCCCATCAGGCCATCCAGCTCTAATTCCAAATATCCAAGCGGTCTACAGATGTCTACAGCAAGTGCTGTATAGTGCTGTCCTATGTTCCCTTTTTCAAGCGGTAACACAAGGATAGCACCGCCCCCATGAATCATGGGATCCCAACACAGGCGCGCATCGCTCTGGGCCACTCCGCAACTGGTAATACACCTATCGCCGCGAATGGTTGGTTGGTAAGAAAATGTTGGAGTAAGAGCTTGATACGAGCTTGATGCTCTTCAGTCAGCGTCTGAAGCTGACTGGAGCGTTTCACCAACAAACTTGTGACCTGTGTCCCGAAAGGTGACAACACACACCAGTATTTCACGGAGGAAAAGGTCCCACGAAACGGAAACTGATAGCGCCTTGACCCGCATCGTCTAGTCTCTGCCAAAAGGTCATCAACTTTGGCCGAGCGCAGTAGATGAGCTCTCGCCTGAGTGCAAGCTGTGAATTGCAAGATCTCTTCGCCAGCTTTCACAATGGCCAGGGACATTGTGAGCTTACTTTGGACCCACCAAGGCATGACTGACATTGATTGGATTCCAGTTGAAGAGCGGCCATCTTTCGTCATCTTTCATCCTCTTTCACTTGATGCAAGATCTGCAAGAAAATCACGGAACCCTTCGCCTTTCGATCCTTTTGTCGAAGCTGGTCTCTCCAAGTGCCCGGACAGCTTTGCCATCGCGCGAGCTCGTGGCCCCACCTGTTGAGTAGCCTGATTCCAAGTTGGTTCTGTTGGACAAAATCATGTTCGACATTTCACTGTTGTCAGATTACAAAGACTACATCAACAAAACAAAATACATAAAATGCATGAATCTGTATGTATGAAAACATGTGAAAATATGTAGAACGTGGTGACAGCATGTCATCTTCGTCATCTTCGCCCACCTCAGCCTGCTGAAATTTGGCATTCATCTCTGGACTCACCGTTTGCCTCAGCTGACCAACACACTAAAAAGGTATAACAAGGTGACTGTCGTCTCCGGCAAGAAATAGCTGACATATTGCTGACTGGGCTTGTCCGGCAGGGTATAAGCAATATCATCATAGGCTTCTCGCCAAGGCGTGGATGAGACCTAGGCTGGGCCCGGGAGTTCCCCTCGCCTTGTCCCATCAAATCGCTGGTGGTTTGAACCTCTGCTAAAAGTACTCGCCATTTGGGATCATCCCCCCAAAAGATGCTGAAAAAAACACCACACTTGAACCACCAAAAATTCCATTGCCAGCCCCAAAAATTTCGAGCTGCATTTTGCTACCCAGAAAAGAGATCTCCAGCAAAGCAAATCAAAGCTGGGTGCACCAGCCATTGTGGAGGCCAAGGTCTTGCCATCCTCGGCGCAAACTGATTGAGAAGGGCTGCACACGTTCGCTTGGAATAGTAACTTTGGCTTGAAACAAATCACATCATGTAGAATTTGTAGAATCCCTATCAACTGTAATTCATCATGATTAACCAGAGTCTTGGCCACTGCTGATCCTCCCTTTCTTGGTGAGGTATATTATATATATAATATATAAATATATAAGTTCAAGAAAATACCCAGCCAGCTAGACCCAGCCAGTGTCTGAGCATCACACTTCCTGACGCAACACCACCACCGCAGCTTTGTTCCCGCAGGGCCTGAAGACACGACCAACAGTTGCCCATGTTGGTCAACATGTTTTTGTTACAGCCGTTCCTGCAAGAGTCTATTCCAAGTTAGCTTTCCATCAAAATCATCAGCGGAAATTTAGTACCTTCATGTGACGAATGATGAAAAGTGAGTCACCAGCCAAAATGATTAGAAACTGATGGGCGTTGATGAGCTCCAAGCTCGCCAGCACCAGTTGGGTAGTTGCCTCGGCTTCAAGTGCTTCCTATCCCTTTCGTAACTAGTGAGCAGCTGATGGAAATCTGTGCCAGCTGAGAGGGGGACTTGCAGAGAAGACTGTTGCAGCCATCAGCCCCATTCTGCTGGATTGGTGCTCCTGGCCAGCAAAATCACTTGGAGTTAGAGGTGTTGAAATGAATACAAATCAATGCCAACAAAATGAGCACCATGCTGCTGAGTGCTTTGTGACTCCACACAAGTTCTTGCTCTGATATGACCTCTCGGTCTTTCTTGCAGTGCTGTTGCTTGTAATGACACAAGGACTCGTCGTTGCGAATATCAAAATATCAAAACACTCAAAGTTCATCAAACCGTCAATAGCCAGCGAAGCTCGTAAAACCACAAACCACACATTTTGGTGCCCTGCACAACTGAAGATCAATGCATTGCTCTTTCAAGTCCTCCAAAAAACCCTTAGATCTCTTTTCATGAGACCGCAGCCTGGGAAAGCTTGGCAATGACATGCAATGACAATGAGAAATCAGATGTGCAGTGCCCTTTTCATCCCATACTGCGCGAGTGACTCCTCGGGCCACCAAAGTCTCTGTGCAGCAAAAAACCGGCTGTCACCGGCCAAGGCTAAGGTGGATACAGAAGAGAAAGCTTGTTCAACCGCAGGAACTCTTGTGTCGTTCGCCTGGTTATCGGGTCGAACCGATGCAATCGCCAATCTGAATACATGTGGAATATGTTTGGAATCCCAGATAAGCATGAAAGACGTCCGATTCTCAGCTGTCCAAAATAAAACCCCATGATCAGTTCGTGCTTTGCTTTGGAGGCTAGACTCCTCTCAAAATTTAAAAAATCTGAGTTTCCTCACATTCCTTTCAAAAGTCTGAAAATCCAGGCGCCAAGCGCATCGAAGTATGAGCCAGCACCGCGTTTGTTCGGGCCTGCAATGCGGACATGCGGACATGCTTCAAAATACTCGTGCCAACAACAAAAAACTTATGGGTTGCCATCCGAGAATGCCAAAGTCAAGCCTTTATTCCGGAAGCAACTTGATATGATACAGTGGAACAGTGTGGAACATCTGCATCTCCGATGGTGTTCCCCCAGTCACAGGGGAAGCATCACTCACATTCTCAACCAGGATCCATCCAGTGCTGCCTACAGACTCTTTGCTCGCCACCGGGTCGCTCCAGAGCAGAGCAACGAAGAGACGATTTACTGAGCGGAACGGTCGCGTTGAACGGGTTGAACGGGCGGTCTCAATGGTTGCAAAATGATGTTGGATCGGTATCCATGACTCGAGGGAACCAATGTCAAACTATGTTCTGTCTTCAATATGTGGAGAGTTAGAGTTCAATGGTCCGTGCAGACTAGGCAGCGGTTGAATGAAGGTCTTGAGATGTGGCCAGACTCTGGTGATATGATCAGTGTCCAGTAAAATTGCTGGTCTAATTCTGCACATTTCTGCACATATGCAGGCGTATACCCTTCGTACATCTTCGTACAGGGCTCGCGGATCGCGGATGATCCCTTGAGAATCCCCGCATAAATGCTTTTTCCGCTCTTGCTTCGAAGAGTAGACGATCTCCAGATCCTGTTGGCATCGGGTCATCCGGTCATCGTCCTGTTGAAAGCTGATGTATCTGTCAGTGATGCTCTTTTCCCAAGACAGACTGCCGTTCCCAGGTCATCTTCAAGTCATCTGTCTCAGGTCATGGTCCATGTTTTCGGCGCGGTCCTTTTCCAACTCCGGAGCTCCAGAAATGCGAACATAGACCTGGAAAAACTGGAAAAAGAATGAAACGCCAGTTGGAGACTCACTGGATCCCAGTCGGATTTCATCACCCCGGCCTCATCGTCATGTCCCTCAAATCGAACGGCGGCAATCTGGCTCTTGCCAACCTGTCAAGAGATCGAATTGGGGGAAAGATCTGGAGAATACATGAGAATACTGGACTCTTGAAATCATTTTATATTGGACTATCATAACCCATCATAGATAATTCATATAAAATAGTAATGATGAATCATAACCCATAGATGAATCATAACCCATTTTATATTGGACTATCATAGATGATTCATGATAATCCCATCTCCAACAGAATTCAACTTCGAGTTACAGAGAATGTCGATGCCGCAGTCTGGGCCCCAAACACGCTCGGTGAGCTTTCCTTTCGTACCCTTCCAGACCTGCAGATGCTTTTGGATGTTGAAAGGAGCTCATGAAATGCACTTTCATTTTGGCCTGTCAGATGGTATGGATTTGACCGCTGGGCCAATCGTGCATGTTTCAAGTAGTTAATTGATTGTTCACCAAAATCATGATAATAATAGCAACAGCGATGATTTCGCCATGATAGGGTGATGAGGAGGCAGAGTGGGAAGAGGAAGATTGGCCAACCCTGGATTAATAAACCCTGGTCAATTGTTTGGGGGTACTTCCCCAAATTAAATAGTGACCTTCTGCTACTCAAATGGTAGCCTAAATTAAACCTTGACATCACTCCTATTCACTATTCTTCGATGTCATGACTTGGGGTTGTCTGATTTCTTTGGTATATAATACCCCAAAATCCCGGGGATTTATCCCATGGATTATATATAGCGTTTTCCTATAAAGCCACCCCATTAAAGCAAGGGCTACTAAAACAAGGCTATGTTTTGTGGAGTATACCGTGTATACCAGCCTGCTCTCCTTCATCGGTCACCAGATCACGGCAAGCAACAACCTTCTGGAAGCATGGATAGCCTCGGTTGGGGAAAAAAATCTTTACCCCTGGTGGTCCATGGTGAAAATCCAATACAAAAGATGTGGCCAGGCAGTGTAAAGGTCAACCAGCTTAAAAGGTCATCCATCCTCGGCCTCGTGCCCCAAATGCAGCACTGGTGCAACGGCACGTGATGTCGTCGATCAATGGCCTGAAGAAACCACCAAAGGTCAAAGGTAAAGTGGACCCAGATGAAACACATTCAGGATTCATGATGATTCATGATGCAGCTATAGTCTGGTTGGCAACCCTCTGATTGATTACAAGCCGACAATAGCTCCCATTCTCTACTAAGACTCTACTATGTCTGCTCTGCGTTGGAAAATCTCTTGATACCTTGCAAATGTCCGCGTATACATTGCCATTCATACAAAGGAAGACTTTTAGGAGGTGAAGTCTTGCGAAAGGCTGGGATCAAGTTGATCAAGTTGCAAATCATGGATATCATTTCATTGAATATCTAAAGAAACATGATAAACATGAGATTCCTGCCACTATCTGCCATTAAACTCCCGTTAACACCGTTAACTCCGGGTCCTTGATCAGCGAAAGCTTAATGCCACAATCCAACCTCAGAGACCAAACGCGCTTTGGTTCCGTGATTTTCCTGCGAAACCAACTTGTTGGAACCACCCTTCACATTGACAAACAGGAGAGAAATCTGCCACAAGAACTTCAATCACTCAACAAATTCGCGACATGAGCATTGGAGCAGCCACATATCTGCCTTACCCTTGTTGGGAACGCTAGTGACTGACCTAAAAATCAAGTGCGACTTGCGAGTTCATCGATGATATCATGGCGAAACTTCAGATATTCCACGCGCTTCGAGGCGGCAGGTTGCGATGAACATGCCCAAATGATAAGACAGAATGATCCCACATCCACGATCATCCAGCTTAAATTTCTCCAAGGGGTTTGTTTCCCAAAATTGCGGTACCACACCATTGTTTTCTCCAAAACAAGACCACTTTAACTTGGATGATAACTTGGGTTTCCGAAGTTTCGAACACCTCCAATAATCATCTTCAAAGTATCCAAGCTGGTGAATGCTCATCCCCGGACTATATTGTAAATGAATGTAAATGATGTAATGACAGGTTTTGACCCGTACCCACTGGATCCCACTGGTATCATCTCCCCAGGTTTTGCACTGTCGTCTTGAGCGAGGCACGGCAAACCTCCATGAATCACCGCAACCTCATTACCAATGACCTGGCACCATGGCTTAGCCATGGGGGGTTGGGGATGGGGGTTGGGGATAGCATGGGGGGTTTGCGGGATCGGGATGGGGATGGGGGCTGAAAATTTCAACCAGGCTGGCAGCTCATGACACAAAGGCAGCTGCTTGAAGCTGGTTTTGCACAGAGAGTAGATGCCTTGGGCAAAGCGAAAAAGTGGACGAAACAAATGAGTCACAAGCAACAGGTTGGAACACAACGTTAAAGATCTTCAGACACATCCTATGGCTGCAACTAGAGCAACTAAAGCATCATGTGTGGCCAGTTTAGCTCAAAATGATGTCTTAGCATGCTGTCGCACGAGACCCAACTTGGCGAAGCAAAAACAAAGGGAATAGGTTTGGGCCGGTTTGGTTCCAGAAATGCGGCCATTTACCAACGATGCGTGTCAATTTTTTGGGGTGAATCAACCATGGTCTGCCATCAATTACCTATCATTTATCCATCATTTACCCACCATTTCCCTATCATGTATCCATTATTTGACTTGAGGCCACCCCCATCCACCAGCTCTGAGCTGTTGGGCGTTGTGCTTCCGCCCCAAAAGCACGGGTGCAGTGCCTGTGGGTCAGGTGGGCTCAAAAATCACCTGTCATCCTGGTGTTGATAGAATATGGAATGTTCAAAAGACTCGCTATACTGCTATACTGTACAAATGAAGATATCTTTGCAAATCCCATATTGGATCTACTACTACTACAGAATCACTGTATGTGTATATATATATATAGATATAGATATATCTCTCCCTCTCTCTTTCTCTATACGTGTGTATTTCATATATATATATATATGTACATATATATATATATGCTACCCACCCCCTCCCCACCAATAACGATAAAATAGCTTAAAACTTGATAAATGCATGGATTGCATAGTTTTGACGCAATGCGTGAGCTAAAGCAAAGAGGTCAGATATGTTCAGAGCGGCACGCAGAGTAGCAAGACTAGGCTGCTGCAGGCTTTGAAGAGTGCATTGAGCTTGTCAAGAAGTTGCAAAACTGACACAACTAACAACAGGACAAGATGTGTGCACACTCCGAACAGTGCAATCATGCTGTGAAGCTGACAAGTGACGTATCAAGACTAGATACGCTGATGGGAACACATTGGAGAGGTGGATTGAAGTTTGTAGTTGAGTGGATGAGTTTGTTGGCGCATGGGAGGAAGTCAAACTCTGATCAAAGTTTCTCACTCAAGAGCTTGCGCACTATGTGAGACTAAGCTTGGCATAGGATGTGCTGTGATGTTTATGCCCTTGAATCCTGTCTCAAGATCTCTCCTCAGGATTCAGTTTTTCCGTTTTTCAGTTTCTGGCCCCAGATCTCTCCTCAGGATTCAGTTTTTCAGTTTCTGAGTTTCTGGCTTCCAAGATTTACCCAAAGACTAAAGAGTCCTGTGCAAATCTTGGAATATTGGATACATGCATACACATTCCTGTCTAGGTTTGACAAACAAAAAAAGTACCTGGAAACTGACACTTTGGGATAGTTTGGGAGGAATGGTGGGGTATTTCTTTGAGAACATGTAACATTGCTTTGCAACAGAATGCTTTAATAGATGCTGCAGGATTTTGAAAGAGTCTTGCCTGTAAAGAAAGATGCAGTATTTGATTCAAAGAGTACCGGACACATTGCGCAAAATAGTTGAGGCCAGTGGGGCATGTTGTAAAAGAATGTACTGTTTCTGTGTAGTAGAATGCGTCAATAGATGCAGTAGTTGTACTTTGAAAGAGTCTTACCTGTAAAGAAAGTCCTCAAATGGATGCAGTACTCTTTTGAAAGAGTATCGGACATAATGCATAAAATGGTGGGGCATATTTTTTAAGATTGCACCATTTCTTTCAAAGGGATAGATGCAGTAGTACTTTGAACAAGTTTTGCCTTGAAACAAAGTCTTTGAATGGACGCAGCACTCTCTTGATGTGTGTTGTATTCTTTAGCACGTGTAGTAGCGCAGCATCACTCTTTGCATTATTCCATTACGAAAAGTATGAGAAAATTGAACATTGCTTTAAACTAGCATACTTTGCAAGACTCTTTCATGGGCGCAGTATTCCTTAGAAAATGCCAACAAACGTGTGAGGTCCCTTTAAAAGGGCACAGAATTACTTCAATAAGAAAGCTCTCTTAGCCTATGCAGTATTCATTGGAAACCGCAAACAATATATTTAGAAAAGAGTTGTAGTGTAGCATTCCTTAAACACGGTGCGGCATTCTTTCAAGAAAATGCAACCTGCTTTGAAATAGAATGCCTCAATAGATGCAGTAGTACCCAGAGGAAATGTTAGTATTAGCTTCAAAAAAAATCCTTGAATGGATGCAGTACTCTGCTGAAATAGTATGTTGAAAGAAGTGTAGAAGTGTAGCATCACTTGTTGCAAAATTCCATTAAGAAGAGTAACACATTTCTGGAAAATAGATGGTGTAGTATTCCTTGGGAAAGGACAGAACATAGTGAAACATTCCCCCTGAAATGCGCAGCATTGCTTTACTATATGTAGATTTGTTTAATGGATGATATGTTTTATTGAATCGTGTAGTGTAGTAGTACAAAATATGTTTGTTCAACAGTGTTGTATCATGACTGTTCTTTTAAGAGGGTGTAGCAGCAACAGAGTGGGTAATACCCTTCAAAGAGAATTTCAATGTTTGCAGTTTTCCTCTAGAAAAGGATGCCACCTTAGACCAAAAAAACAGTATTACTTGAGTCTTGAACTCAAAAACTTCCTGACAAGAGTCCCTTCAAAAACATCTTGAAAACAAGACAAGTAAAACTGTCTCAGATCCTGTGGTGAACTTTTGCATCAATCAAAGGTAACGTATGTATGAGGTGTGTAGAAGTATATGTGTACTACCATCAACTTACATGATCGTATGTACTGTCTAGCAAGTCGCAAACAAACATTTTTTTCAATGCATTTTGTACTGGAAATACCATTGAAATATGCCTCCGGGGGGGGTCTGGGGAGGTGGGTGAGCCATGGTCACACACACACACACCCAGAACCTTTCCGAAGCATTGCAATATCATCATTAGTAACATCGTCTGGGGGGCAGGTTTCTGCACATGAATGGTTCAATACATTTGGGTTGTAATTATAATATCTAATGCATTCTGGTTCAATGGCAATGGCTGATTCAAAATTTTTGTGACCACTTCACCCCCTGGTCTGCTTCAACCTTATCATATGCTTCACCCTTTCATGCAGCCAATAATGCCTACAACCATACTTGCACAAAAAAAAACAATATTTTGAGACTCTTTGGGCGGGGCCTGAGCTTGGAACCTGAAGCTCCAGCAACTTGGGCCACATCGAGAAAAGCAAACAAAACCTGGAAAAACAAAAAAAAACTCAAGCTAAACAAAAAATGGTAAAATGTTTGGTTTTGACTCAAAAGATGTTTTTTGTTGCGTTCCCTATGTGTTTTTCTTTTTTTCTTAAATGGAAAAGCAAAAAAAAACTTGGTTTTTTTGGGTTATTTGAATGGATACGATCAATCAAGATCTCAAAAAAAAAATCAATGTGTTTTTTGGTTTTTCACCATTTTTGGTTTGGTTTCTGCATTGAAAAGTCTCAAAAACCAAACAAACTCGCGTTTTTTGTTTTTTGAGATCTTGATTGATCGTATCCATTCAAATAACCAAAATACCCAATGTTTTTTGTTTCTCCATTTCAGAACCAAAAAAAAGAAACAAAAACTACGGAAAACAAAAAAACATCTTTTGAGTCAAAACCAAACATTCTCTCAAAGGTTTTGTTTTTTGGTTTTTTTGGTTTTGCTCGAGTTCTTTGTTTTTTAGTTGTTCTAGTTATTCGCATGAGTGACCTTATCCATCAAATTTCCTGAACAACCTGCCATTAAGTCCTTGTAGTGGAATATTGCCCAACGAGGATATTAAACATTGACATATGTATATGTATGGCAACCCCCTTGGACCCAACCATGTGATAGTTTCAAGATTGAAGCTATTTTGTCGTTATTGGAGGGGGGGGTACCATACATATATATTTATATAATTATATTTATTTATGGGTCATTTTCCATAGCTATGTAAAGCTACCGGAGGGTAAGTCTCTGAAAGACCACGATGGAAAGTGTCAAACAACGAGTAAGTGCAATCATAATGATAGTAGCACCAATTCTGATAGTAATAGTAATACTGATACTAATACTAATAGTAAGTGTAGTAGTAGTAGTAGTAGCAGCAGCAGTAGTAGCAGTAGTAGTAGTAGGTAGTAGGCAGTAGGTAGTTAGTAGGTAGTAGGTAGTAGGTAGTAAGTAGTAGGTAGTAGGTAGTAGGTAGTAGGTAGTAGGTAGAAGGTAGAAGGTAGAAGGTAGTAGTAAGTAGTAAGTAGTAAGTAATAAGTAGTAAGTAGTAATTAGTAATAATCTACAGAGAAGTCTCCTTCCGGCAAGCATTTGAAATCCAGCAACCAGCTCGTCTTTTTTCAATCATATATATTCAAATGTTCGTCCATCCTGTTAAAATTGGGCCCTTGGCGTGGCCTCCCCTTTGTTCTAGTCAAACCCTGCGGCCGCACCCGTGCACGAAGCCATTGTCTGGCTTGAGATTCTGCGCTTGGTCCTTGTGGTCGCGCAAAAGTGGAATGGGAAACCCCTCGCCGCATAAAACAAGACAGCCGATTCCAATAGCTGTGGCATGCTGTGGCTATGTGATATGCTCAGGTTTGATCAACAGTCCAAATTTCGTGCCAACTATGGTGCCTATGGTGCCCAGTAGCTTGACCGTCTCTTCCATGATTATTCTGGGCTCAGATGGTCTCTCCTCGTGATTCCCACGGTTCAGGAAAACAGCGTCCGGGCCTCAGAAAAGAAATGCTGTGGTCGCAACAAAGCAAAGCAAAGCCACCAAATGCTGGGTAACAAGTGTACATCTTCACATGATTGGGAAAAAGTTGTGCTGGTAATGGTGGTGATGGTGATGATGGTGATGATGGTGATGATGGTGATGGTGATGGTGATGGTGGTGATGGTGATGGTGGTGATGATGATGATGATGATGATTATGATGATGATTATGATGATTATGATTATGATTATGATGATGATGTGACGATGAATGACTAGACAGCAAGCAGGCCGCTAATATCCATGTATGTAGCACAGTACGTATATATGTACATATAATATATATATATAATGACTGAGCTGCGTGTGAAGCACACCGAATTCACACCCAACCAGCCAGAGGATAGGATATGAGGCAGAGAAGTGCATGAAACCTCCACCCCCTCCACCCCTCATCCCCTGAAAGTGTTGTTTTTTGAGGCGTTTCGCCAAGCGACACCGAATCTTCAAGCAGTAGATGGCCAGGAGCACTTCGGGACCCCATGCCTCGGTTCCCCGCGATCTTCACAGCCCTCCATTTTTCACCCAAAGATCTGAGAAATCCACGCCGCGATCAACGAAATCCCCGTTGAAGATATACCTGAGCTGAGCAAAATGGAACCTGGTAGATCCTGGTAGATCCTGGTAGCATGGAAATCTCCTCAAAGTTTGGCCAACCACATGTTCCCAATTCTTACACATCCTGCACAATGTCATCATGTGTCATCCTCCAGTGAAAAAATCCCAAGGCGGCGGCTTAATGCCACCGGGGCCAGCTTGAGGTTCTCCATGCTCCGTGAAGATATGCATCAAGTCCTGCCAAACGATCCAGAAAATGGAATGGGGGATGTACCGTATAAATGATGCATATACCACTTGGATCCAGTTGTACCATTTTGATGTAGCATTTGAAGTAGCATTTTATATCCGGTTGATGACTTGATGTACTGTACCACTCGATTTATCAGCGGTCGCGCACTGGGAAGCCGCACAGAGAAATGTCCATGTAAGTCGCCTACCACTATGATCCTGCATCAGGAGCTTTGGGACTTGAAAGTCGTCGTCCACGAATTACTTGGAGAGACCCGACTGGAATTGGATTCCATCTTCATCTTTCAGGATATCTTTGAAATTGTTAAAGTTGTGGCGCTCCATTTGCACGAAAGAACCCTCTCACAAAATACATCATATAATCATATTGTACCATCCTAGCGTGGCAACAACTCCCCTTCGAGATTGGCTCATCTTGCCGTATCATATCTCCCGCCTTTCGCCAGCCTCCGGCTTTGGCACGAAAACCACATTCTGCTCCTGCGGTTCATTGTGTACTGAGCACAATCACAATTCTTCCTCCTTGTTCTACCTACTTACCTACCCATCTACCTACCTACCTATCATTACCATTCATTACCTATCTATCTCACCGACTAACTAGTCTACTTTTTCATGCATGTGCATCTACTTTCCCAATTCCCAATGGTTGCTGATTCCACATGTTTCAGGAACTTTGCTCCATTGAGATCCCACTCATTGTTGCTATTCCCCGTCCCATCCAACATCCGGATACCCATTGGAGCCTTCTCGTGGAGCCGGATGGCGGACGAACTTGGTGCGATGCCAAGGATTTACATTGATATGTATATAGAAATCATAAGATAGGATTGGGTAGGGATGGATTACATGATGATTAGATGTGTTCAATCAATATGATTCTCCACCGTTCCGATTGACAATGTACCTGCATCGGGATGGCTGTTGTGGCTCCAAAACGCGCACCGTCAAAGTCAATGCACAATGCACTGTATCCCATTGGGTCCCTGGCATGATCTGTTTGCAGACCTTGATTGTTTGGGCGGATCATGCAAGCTCGCAGAACAAGAATTCCTCGCATGTCACCATCTTCTCAATACCAGACATGAACAACCTGCAATCACTTCAAGGTAGCGGCGTCCAATGGAGGAACTTTTCGGTTTCGAAGTTCGTTCCTCAGCAAATGGACTAGGGAACATGAACTTGAGTAAATGCTTGCGGCTGACACAGATCATACTACGCCAATCTAGAAGACATGAATGACGCAACTCTTCCACCTGCAAAATTCATAGCTGCACCAAATATGAATAATATTATGTAGAGGTCCGCACCAGGCAGCTTCCAACTCCCAGTCTGAAAGTGGCCTCCCAGACTTGTCGGTCAGCTATTAAGGTCTCTGAAAAGAACTCAGGAGAGCTGAAGAGATATCATGAGAATCTCTGGTTGAATCGGAGGGGTGCCATTTCCACAGCCAATTCTCACTGGGGATAACTCCCCTTTTTTTTAGCCCCCGAAGAATTCACCTGCACCGCCTGCACCCAAAAAATCGGCTTTGTAAGATCCGATGGGATGATAATTGGCAGCTCTGAAGCATCAGCCCCTTTTCCACTGGCGTTTCAGCGTGTTTTCAGCGTTTCAATGGCCAGCTTCGGCACCTGGCATGACATGGAAAGCTGTCGGCCTTGGCCATGGGAAATCCCATCAAAAATGGCGCTTTTACTGCGAAATCATCGAACTCATGGGGGATTAAAAATTGAAACCTCTCTATGTAAATTATTCTAAACTGCTATTTGTAATCTGCTGAAGTCCCTTGATCAATGAGTCGGGTCATCATCTGCACCTCATCTGCCAAGACCAAGAAGGTCCGAGAGAGTCGGAGCTGATGGCTTTTTCTCCTTCGCTTCCTGCAGCACCACGAGCGTGGCCCACTTTGGGCATTGGAATTAAATAGTATTAAAGTATGATTTCTAAAGAATAGGAACTTGGCCAAAATCCCATAACCATCCATAAACCATCCATTTATCCCATAATATGGTTATCCATTATGGCCTTCAAATAAAACCAGATCAAATCGGTCCAAAATTTCGATGCGTACTGCGACGTGCCAGGACGTGGCCTCCTCTTGAATCGTTACCGAAAAGGGGGGTGACTCTTCTGCACGTACCTCCGCAAGAAATCACAAAATAGCTGGTAAATAGCTGGTAAACTAACATAACTATGGAAAATCACCATTTTTAATGGGAAAATCCACTATAAATGGTAAATACTAAATACTCAAAGTTTGGTTTTGTGAGTCTTGATCCATCCCAACTTGCTTACCGATTCGCTGGGACTTGGAGTCGGACACAAATCATACGTAGTTCTGTTCGCCAAGAAAAACGCTTCAAATTGTCAGGCACGGTTCTGACACTTCTTTCTAGATATGTCATGATTGAGTCATGATATGTCCCTATATCCCCCTATTTTCCTCCCTCTCTCCCAATTTTTGTTCACTTTTTCCTTCATATCTATCTCATCTCCTTGTTTTCCTCCCCATTTTATCGTCCTATGTATCGCTGTGAAACTGACAGCTGGCTATAATTCCTTCAACTCCATGATTGCTGCTCCCAATAACAAATGCCTAGTTAGCTTGCTGCTACTGGCTATTGGAGTACCTGAACAACTGGAGGAGGCTGTTTCTTGCTGGCGTCAGGATCTTTCCTGCCACAAAAGAGAAAGAAATGAGTCACCAAATTTCCTCATAAACCTTTCCTCCGCGGACAAGATGCACTGGGAGAAACAATTCGGAGATCATCCAACTGAATCTAACCACAAAAACATGCCGCGTCCTGTAGCATTCCGCCAAACTGAGCCTTCGCATTGGGCAGCTGGTGCTAGCTCGGTGCTCAGACCACAAATCTGCTGAGGACAATTCTATTTATTCAATCCAGTCATATCCAGTCATTTGATTCACGGTGCTTTGGGGTGTTTTCACATGCTTCACCCACAAATGAACCCAAATTGTCCCCAATCCGTTCCAGTCCATTCGTGGTACATCTGTCATATGATGACAGCCTACTTGACAAATTGAGAAGTGCTTTGGGGTCGAAAGTTGGCAACCTACATACAGGACACTAAGGAGAAACAATTGCGATTCCAAAGCTTATGGGGCCGTTCGCTGAAGCTTCTTGGAGGTGTAGGTTGGCAACCCAGAGTACACTAAGGAGACACAATTGCCATTACAAAGCTCAAGGGGCCGTTCTCTGATGTAGGTTGGCAACCTACAGGACATTGAGAAAAACAATTGCAATTGCAAAGCTTGTGGGGCCGTTCTCTGAAGCTTCTTGGGGGTGTAGGTTGGCAACCTATGGGACACTAAAGAGGAACAATTGCGATTGCAAAGCTTGCGGGGCCGTTCTCTGAAGCTTCTTGGAGGTGTAGGTTGGCAACCTACGGGACTCTAAGGAGGAACAATTGCGATTGCAAAGCTTGTGGGGCCGTTCTCTCAAGCTTGTTGGAGGCGTAGGTTGGCACCTACAGGACACTAAGGAGAAACAATTGCGATTGCAAAGCTTATGGGGCCATTCTCTGAAGCTTGTTGGAGGCGTAGGTTGGCAACCTACAGGACTCTAAGGAGGAACAATTGCGATTGCAAGGCTTGTGGGGCCGTTCTCTCAAGCTTGTTGGAGGCGTAGGTTGGCAACCTACAGGACTCTAAAGAGGAACAATTGCCATTGCAAAGCTCAAGGGGCCGTTCTCTGATGTAGGTTGGCAACCTACAGGACATTGAGAAAAACAATTGCAATTGCAAAGCTTGTGGGGCCGTTCTCTGAAGCTTCTTGCGGGTGTAGGTTGGCAACCTATGGGACACTAAGGAGGAACAATTGCAATTGCAAAGCTTGAGGGGCCGTTCTCTGAAGCTTCTTGGAGGCGTAGGTTGGCAACCTACGGGACTCTAAGCAGGAACAATTGCGATTGCAAAGCTTCTGGGGCCGTTCTCTGAAGCTTGTTGGAGGCGTAGGTTGGCACCTACAGGACACTAAGGAGAAACAATTGCGATTGCAAAGCTTATGGGTTCATTCTCTGAAGCTTGTTGGAGGCGTAGATTGGCAACCTACAGGACTCTAAGGAGGAACAATTGCGATTGCAAAGCTTGTGGGGCCGTTCTCTCAAGCTTGTTGGAGGCGTAGGTTGGCACCTACAGGACACTAAGGAGAAACAATTGCGATTCCATAGCTTATGGGGCCATTCTCTGAAGCTTGTTGGAGGCGTAGGTTGGCAACCTACAGGACTCTAAAGAGGAACAATTGCGATTCCAAAGCTTCTGGGGCCATTCTCTGAAGCTTGTTGGAGGCGTAGGTTGGCAACCTACAGGACTCTAAGGAGGAACAATTGCGATTCCAAAGCTTATGGGGCCATTCTCTGAAGCTTGTTGGAGGCGTAGGTTGGCAACCTACAGGACTCTAAAGAGGAACAATTGCGACTCCAAAGCTTCTGGGGCCATTCTCTGAAGCTTGTTGGAGGCGTAGGTTGGCACCTACAGGACACTAAGGAAAAACAATTGCGATTGTAAAGCTTGTGGGGCCATTCTCTGAAGCTTGTTGGAGGCGTAGGTTGGCAACATACAGGACTCTAAAGAGGAACAATTGCGATTGCAAAGCTTATGGGGCGGCTTTCTGAATCTTGTTGGAGGTGTAGGTTGGCACCTACAGGACACTAAGGAAAAACAATTGCGATTCCAAAGCTTGTAGGGCCATTCTCTGAAGCTTGTTGGAGGCGTAGGTTGGCACCTACAGCACACTAAGGAGAAACAATTGCGATTCCAAAGCTTATGGGGCCATTCTCTGAAGCTTGTTGGAGGCGTAGGTTGGCAACCTACAGGACTCTAAAGAGGAACAATTGCGATTCCAAAGCTTCTGGGGCCATTCTCTGAAGCTTGTTGGAGGCGTAGGTTGGCAACCTACAGGACTCTAAAGAGGAACAATTGTGATTGCAAAGCTTATGGGGCGGTTTTCTGAATCTTGTTGGAGGCGTAGGTTGGCGCCTACAGGACACTACGGAAAAACAATTGCGATTCCAAAGCTTGTAGGTTGGCAACCTACAGGACACTAAGGAGAAACAATTGCGATTCCAAAGCTTATGGGGCCATTCTCTGAAGCTTGTTGGAGGCGGAGGTTGGCAACCTACAGGACTCTAAAGAGGAACAATTGCGATTGCAAAGCTTATGGGGCGGTTTTCTGAATCTTGTTGGAGGCGTAGGTTGGCACCTACAGGACACTAAGGAAAAACAATTGCGATTCCAAAGCTTGTGGGGCCATTCTCTGAAGCTTGTTGGAGGCGTAGGTTGGCAACCTACAGGACTCTAAAGAGGAACAATTGCGGTTCCAAAGCTTCTGGGGCCATTCTCTGAAGCTTGTTGGAGGCGTAGGTTGGCAACCTACAGGACTCTAAAGAGGAACAATTGCGATTGCAAAGCTTATGGGGCGGTTTTCTGAATCTTGTTGGAGGCGTAGGCTGGCACCTACAGGACACTAAGGAAAAACAATTGCGATTCCAAAGCTTGTGGGGCCATTCTCTGAAGCTTGTTGGAGGCGGAGGTTGGCAACCTACAGGACTCTAAAGAGGAACAATTGCGATTGCAAAGCTTATGGGGCGGTTTTCTGAATCTTGTTGGAGGCGTAGGTTGGCACCTACAGGACACTAAGGAAAAACAATTGCGATTGTAAAGCTTGTGGGGCCATTCTCTGAAGCTTGTTGGAGGCGTAGGTTGGCAACCTACAGGACTCTAAAGAGGAACAATTGCGATTCCAAAGCTTCTGGGGCCATTCTCTGAAGCTTGTTGGAGGCGGAGGTTGGCAACCTACAGGACTCTAAAGAGGAACAATTGCGATTGCAAAGCTTATGGGGCGGTTTTCTGAATCTTGTTGGAGGCGTAGGTTGGCACCTACAGGACACTAAGGAAAAACAATTGCGATTCCAAAGCTTGTGGGGCCATTCTCTGAAGCTTGTTGGAGGCGTAGGTTGGCAACCTACAGTACATGCATGACTGTGATTTCAAAGCTCTTGTCGCTCTATCCAAAAGCTTGTGGTTGCTGCGATGGCTGAGCTGCCGCTCCTCTTCTGGCCAGGGGCGTTGTCTGCAAACAGACCTTGGCAGGTCATTCGGATGTCACTGAGTTATTACACAGAAATCACTTGGCGCTTCTGTTGGTCTTACCCAGACCTGCTGACACAATTCCACCCGGATGGTTTGGGAGCATGACCCTCGAGAGTCATGCCAACTAAGTCCTCCCCAACGACCAGGAAAATGTCGGAGCTCGGTATGAAGCCTTGGCAGGGCTTCGTCACAAAAGGACCCTGTGGTCTCGATTGGAATCAAAATCAAGATTTTAGTCTTCCGAAGATGGTTCGAGGAGGCAAAAAGTATGGAAAAGTATGGGGGGTTCCCACCATCACGTCTGAATCATGGCCTTAAACCGGCCACAATGGGTGAAACTTTTTGAATCAGGAGACTTACCATCAGAAAAGGTTATACCCCCCATTGCCATTATAGCTGGGAATCTTCAGAAAAATGAGGGTTTACCCACCAGTCATGGGAAGTTCAGCCCCAATTCCCAGCTGGAAATTCCCAGCTGAGAGCAGTGCACCACTCAACGCGATTGCTGATCCGCTGGGGGTCTTTGGCCTGTCCAATGGACCCAGCTTCAATTTGTAACATGTGCAAGCATAGATTGACCAATAAAGTCATCTTCAAGGGACTTTGGAATTGAACGGAGTATGTGTGTACTACGTATATCCATACTTATTCATCTATACGTATTTTATGTGTATCATTATGTAGATGCAATATAAACATATGTGACAAATCCATACCATGTTGGAGCAAGGAACCACACCATGCCCCCACTGGGCAGTTGTGTTTCTCGCCTCTCGACCAAAGGTGGCAGGGGAGTGGTGCTCCGCTCGGAAAAGTCCTGGGCACGGGCCGAGATGGCTTTGGTGCCTGAATAATCTGAATATGGGGTCTACAATATGATAATATATATATATATAAACATATATAAACATATATAAACATATATAAACATATATAAACGTCCAATTTGGGGTGCCCTATTTCCAGACAAATCCAGATCATTCATGACCGGGGACAGATCCTAGACCAGAATGCGAGAAAAACCATGCGGGATCCTGTTCGCATCAGGAATTATCAGAATATGTTTTCAAAAATTAAAACAGAAAAGTCCTGTTGAAGTCATCTCAGGTGCCTTAATAGCCTAAGTCCAAAGCTTTTTTCAGTCATCTACCCTCTGGTAAACTAACACTAACATAACTATGGAAAATCACTATTTTTAATGGGTAAATCCACTATTAATCGCCATTTTCAATAGCTATTTTGACATAACCAGAGGGTACGTCATCTTCTGCAGCCAAAGTACCGAGGGCTCGCTTTGGCCCTGAACCCAGCGGCTCCTTCTCTGCAACTGCCACGATGTCCTGCTAGGACGCTAGGAGTCCATGTTCACTCCACCGCTGGCAATTGGTTCATGGGAAGGTCTAGGTGTCTTCTTAGACTTTGCTAATCGAACATTGCAATGGGAAATCCATGGAAATCCACTACAAATGGAGGTTTTAATGATTTTTAATGGGAAAATCACCTACAAATGAGGGCCTTCCATTGCCATGTTTGATCGCGGAGGGTATGCCATTTGCAGAGACTCCTCCGTTCAGCGGCCTATTCTTCAGATTTCAGAGGTGCTCAGCATGTTTTGCATGGGCTCCTTCCACATCACGTGCGCAAGCTTCCGCACCTGCCAGGGGAATTTGGTCACAGGTCACCGCTGCGCTGATCCAAAAGAACCAAAGTTTGCCGGAAATCCAGCTTGCGAATGCTTGCAAGGCCTCAGGGTCTGCTGGTGGAGCAGCTGTATCCTGCACCGAAGAGTTGGAAATGCATCGGTGCTTCAATGATAACAATACTCTTAACTCTTATTAGCTCTTAATCTTCGGAAAGTCGCTTCACATCAACTTCTTCATGTTCAACACCGTCCAAAAAAGGCTTTGAAAGCTTGCCTCGCCGGATGGAAGGATGGCTGCCATAGCTTTGCGCCACTTTCGCGCCCACCTGTCTGAAGGTGTTCGCAGTTCAGCCATTTGCTCAAGGTCTCAAGCTGCTTCCAGTGGTTCCTTGCGATATCTGTGGTTCCTTCAAGCTATGCGTGGCTACAGTGGTTCCAAGATGTTCCAAGGCCAATCTGATCAAAGCTTCCAGTCGCACCTGCTTCGCAGTGCTCGTTGAGGGCTTCTGCTGCGGTCAATACCTTGGTGGCTACCACGGCTACCCGTGACGGATCACTGGTTGAACAACTGGCTGACGCACCTGCCATGCCCGGCGGATCGTCTTGGTGATCCATCCAACAGCGTTGGTAGATCTGTTCTCGTAACTCCTCGCTTCACGGGTCACAGGGAATTCACAGGGAAGCTGGCAGGGAAGACGGAAAAACATGAAAAAAAAGGAAAAAAGAATACCACTCCTTCCCAAAACCCCGCATTTTCATGAAAATTTGGCAAGGTCACTTGCCAACATTGCGAAGTCAGGAGTTTTGCCCCGTTCGCTCCTGCCACAAGACTAGCTCTGGAAAGGTCTCTGCAATCTGCTTCCAGCCGTCTCGAGGCTTAGTTCAGGGTGAGGCAATATGCTCCAGGCTATGGTCAACAGATCTGGTTCAGCTGAAAACATTTTGTGAGGCTGCAGAAAGTGTGACAAAGAATCAAAGAGAGGAGCTAAGATAAGCAACCTACTTGTGTCTTAGCGAAGTCCAGGTTCTGAAAATCACAGGCTGTTGCACTCCAACTCCCCTCCCAGTTTGCCAAGTCACCATTCCTTTTCCAATTCGTCGCACTTCTGCCTTGGAGTCTCCAAGAAGTTCTAAACGAAATGGCAGCTGTTAATGAAACGTTTGTCACTTGTTGTGCCCCTCATTCTTGCACTGGCAGAGTGATCATATACCGCAATGTCCCAGCATATTCGACAACTACTGAGGCCGTGTCCGCGAGCACACGGCTCAGCAAACAAAGAAATTGTGCGCGATAGCGCCTCAGAATGTCTCCGCTGTCTCAATATCTCAGATGTGCAGCGAACTAGCTTCAAACTGCCGAGATCGGGACTTGGCAGCACAATCATAGGCAATACCTTCCAAGTCAAATGGAACTTCCTGCAAAACCCTCTACAGAAATCTGAAATCTGATGAAAGCGCACGCATGGACGGGGAGGCCATGGCTTCCAGGAACTGGGGCCTGTAGCAGCTGCAGCTCTTGGTGGAAAACAGCAGAGTTCACCAGTCAAGGTATGAACCTCGCAGGATCGCACCTTTCAAACCAAAGGCAGAGAAGCTCCGGCGCGCGGCAGCCCTTGCGGATGCCAAAGGACCAACGCGGTCAGCGTTCAACCACTTCAACCAGTTTTTCCTTGCCATGCCCTGCTCCGACTCAAAAAGTCAGCTAATCACAAGGCGTAACTTCAACCAGTTACGGTCTTTAAACCGTATTAAACAATATTAAACAATATTAAACATCATCAATGTGGTAAACCAGCCACCAAGTCATCAGCATGTTTACCCCCAACAGGGTTTCGTAGCTTTCCCGCCTGGTACGTGGCGCCGAAGAGCGACACGCAGCGTCCACGCGCCACGGCGGCCACCAGGCCCTCGCCTGAGAAGCTAAGCACCTATGCGCCGAGTAAACCACCGAGGCTGTGACCAATCCCTCGGAACCAATGGACTACTTGCAGTCAGTCATGGAATATCTGTATAGATATTTTATAATTATACATATATATATGTGTGTGTATAATATGTGTATATGATTGTATATGTATATGCATACATATGTATATGTATCTGCATATATAAGTATCTGATATGTATCTCTATATGATCTATATGTATCTATGCACAAATGTACATAATTTACAACTCATAACTAGCAGTTGGAAATGATAGGATCGTCCCGCTTCGACTGGGATTTTAGAAGGCCTCAAAGCGGGAGCAAGGCCAATCACCGTTGGAAGCTATGGGGTGTGACTTGTAACTTGCAACTACCGGACACACAAATTGGGTGTAAACAAACATGACTCTTGTTATCTCGTCGTTAAATTCGGATTATCTGGTTTTCAACAGGTGGGGATCATCATTAGGCGTGCTCAAGGTTCTCGAGGGTATACGTAACATATTCATAAAAACTCCATGTTGCTACCCTTAGCAGGTGGAATGTATTATCTCAGAGAACTAGAAACTTGGAGTGAGACACTTAAATCAGACTTTGCTGTGCCCCAGTCTTAGACATTGGGAACACAATCCATCTGGCTCATGTGGCTCATGTGCCTCTCAAGAAGTCAAGACATTATTTTTGTTGAGGGAAATGTTGGGGAATGTTCTGGGAGATGCAAACAGAGCTTTGTCTTCATTCCTTACTTGAACAGTGCACAAAGGTCATCGTACCAACACATCTGGCTGAACAAGCATCCTTTGATCAGCAAGATGAACTGTCGATAACATATCCGTGTAAGTCCAACTGACTCGGCCAAACAAGTGATTGGCACCTGCTCATTTTGATGGGCAACCATAAGCCCTCATGTTTCTATCGATTTTCTATCTCCGAAAATGGGGTATCCGGCGGTATCCGGTACCACTTCCAATGGTCATGTGACCATCTCGTGGGATCCTCCCCATCTCAGGGCCTGCCAGACCGCAGATCACGGTCAGCAAGCGGCACGCCTGGGCACTGTGTCGGCGTGGCGACCAAGGACCGACCCCTCAAGTCCCCGGCCTCGGCGAAGAGTGGCTCTTGTGGCCGTTCCATGATGTGCTCAGGTACCTGGAATGGATCAAATGGAAATGGCTGGTATGTTTGGGTCGGGAAACTCCTAACATCTCCTAACATCTCCTAGCTATTGGGGACTTAATAAGTTTGACCCATAACCATTTTGGAACCAGGGGGAACGCCTGCTCAAGCCTTGCTCTACAGTCAAGCTAGCTCGTTTCCGACGAGACCTCCTTGCCAGAAAAGGACAATCTTTGGACCATTCTTCGGGACTGTAACAGCTTCTCATTTTGGGGGATTCCCAGAAACGCAAGACTTTATACTTCAATGTTCCAGATCCCTGCAACGAACATCTAGGTTTGTCTACAAAATGGGCGCTATCCCAAAATATAATGGTTGATCACCATTTTCTGAAACTGAAACTGGTGATCAGTTGGGGTATCCCTGTACCCCCATCTGGACCTGCTGGTTCAAGGCGGATGCGAACCAAATCACGAGCCGCCTTTGCTCCTGGCAACCCCAATGCGGATGTCCCCGAAAATCTGGCGGGGAACTCCCCAATTTTTTTTCCAAATCCTGAGTTGTCTTTCTCAAAAGCTGTGTTCAGGTCCTGCAAACCCTGCCGGAGCTCGTCCGCTGCTTCACTGAGGCGGTGGAAGGCCTGGTTTTTCTTTCGGATCTGGGGGTTGGCATGGAAAATCTATTAAAATTTCAGATCTGATTGTTCCTCCATCTTGGGCGATGAAGATTGATTTTGGGTGATTCTGAAGTCTTTATTTGACGTTGACTTCAAGAATCGATCTTCGAAAATGGTTGGTCCATTCCAGAAGCCGATCCCGGATGACTTGTTTTAACTGCCAAAACACGGCTAAAAAAGTGCTGCCCTATGGCTTGCCTTGTCAGCCTTGGGCAAATCTGGATTCTTGTCAGGATGTAATACCCGGGACCTGAGTTTTTTGCACAATGCAGGCAGTTTCTTCATAGGAATCAACCGTTTTTCCTCGTCAACTGAGCTTCAAGCAGCTGCCGATAGGAGTAAGCGATGTCTGCCTGCAATTTCGACAGCAACATTACAGCTGGCCTGCTAACTGGCTACCTGCATGTGACATAATTCTGTGGGCCCTGAAAGGGTATGAACATGCCTCATTTCTTCAGAATGATACTGATACATTATACTAACTACTTCCGAAAATCAACTGAGAAAAGCTTCACATATACCACATGTATAAACATATATATATATATATAAATAGATCATATAAGGCTTCCGCGACCTTCCCAACTCAAAATCGCTCAAGGCGTCGTCCTTGTTTTTCCAATCTTGCCGCGAAACCGCACCCGCGCCTCGCCATAGCCTCCCAGTTGAGCACCCCCGAGGCGCATCACAGTCAAGGCCGAAGGTGGCCGGGTGCCCTGAAGGTTTCTGTGTGATCATGGTCAACCCTGACCCCTCACCCTGGCACCCTGAGACATGCCCAAAATTTGGATAAGATTGACAATAATATACAATAACATGATATAATATGATATATTATAATATGTATGAAAATATGTGTATGATAGTTAGTTGAATGATGTTGAATGTTCATTTTATGGAATCCTGGGATCATTCTATTTCAACCCAAATGTGATGCGCCTCACAAATGCGAGACACCTCCTCCGCAGCCGTGGCAATCAGAATTTTCTGCTCTTGGTGGGCCTCTTGCAGCTCATTTTCTACAAAGGAAGCACGAAACTGTTACAGTAAACAGTTTATAACATTTTGTAACAATTTAACAATGTTGAACATACTTTGACATTCTAAATATGTCGAAAACATGTGTTTCGCATCTTGTTTTCACAACATGAACCCGTCTCCAGCACCACACTTCGCAACGAAAACCTGCGTCGTTCCACGTCGTCCCAGCCCCTCCACAGCCTCCCGCACGGCTGCACGAAGGTTTTCTCGAAGCTTGAGATCGGCAAACCATGCCTGCGATGGGGGTTCCCAACAAAGTGCAATTTTTATGCCATTTCTAATGGGGAAAAACTCATGATCGAAGGAAGTCAAATACTCGTATCAAATTAACATTAGAAACAACCCTCAAATTCTAAGTTACCCCATTTCAGACAAACCCAAATCTCATTGTCATCTGAGGAAAATTCAAAGATCTTTGCTTCGATCAATTCATGAAGATGATTCTGACATTCCGGAGTCCAGTCGAACAAGGGCTCCCTTTCCACACACCCTGTCCATCCTCGTCTCCACAAAGTTCTGTTCCATCTACCTGGACTGAGTGGAATACAAAACTCACGGTGTCATGGGAGAGTATAGTTTAATTGCGAAAGAAAAGCATAGTTAATTGCGAAAGCTGATGTTCTTCGATTGCGAAAAAAACATGGCTAATTGCGAAAAATGCCATGGGAATGAACTCGAAACTGTAGACGACACCACTCACCTCTGTTTTTTCCTTCTGCATTCATTTGGAAAGGCTGAAGAAACGTTCCGATTCACGATACTGTGCATTTGGTTTGATGCTTCTGCATCGTGGCACAAGGAACGGTGTCATGGACTCAGAGTGACGTGTTCCCACAACAGGAAAACCATCACATTACGGATATCCCTTGGAGTACATCTGTAATAATCTGTAATATACCAATCTGATCCCTTAATTTACCCAGCTGGGGGGTTTCTTAAACTGGTGAATCCCCAAAACCATGGGTTCAGTACTAAAATGATCTAAATTCGGATCATTTGGGGGCACCCACCCATGGATGGGAACCCTTCATATCGGTGCTGGATGGTCCTGGGAATTCTGGGATAGACGAACGTTCCAGATCCCACCTTCAGCTGCTCCATGCGTTCGTCCGGCGTCGGCGGCACTGGCGGTGCTGGTGGGCCCTCCGATGGCACCGCCAGCGCCAGCGGGTTGGGCGCAGCGGGCGCCGGAGCAGCGGCCTGCAGTCTCAGCCGCTCCAAGATCTTCTGCCTGGCAGGCTTAGCAGTATTTTTTTGGGGGGCCTGAATCATTAGATGTCCAAATCTTCGGTGAAATTTTGAAGGATGGATGAGGGAAATGGGATTAGAAACTGGATTGAAATCGGATCGGGATCAATCAATATTTAGCTGCCTGTCCGTGGTTCTGACATGGAGGTCAAAGTGGTAGAGAGGCAAATAAAGCACAGACCTTTCACTGAAGTTGGGACACCGCCCTTGAGGCTTTGTGCGAAAGCATCGGAATACGACGGGATTAATTCCCAAAAAAATGATTTGAAGGGACTGTCAATCAAAACTGGTCTCTTCAGATCCGTTTCCCAGCTCTCAAACGAGTTTTTTTTGCGTCTTCTCTTGCCGCGTTTTGCAGGTGAGCTTCACAAACCCCGGCTTGCCACAATTTTGCTTCCCAGCAACCGCCGATCGCATAGATCTGATTGGATTGTTGGATAGGTGGCCAGAAGCTTTCAAATGTGCACCCCGTAGTCAAAATCTAATAATCTGATAAACACCAATCCACGACGGAAACATCATTTGTGGGGCGTGATGGGCATGTTTTCCCACGTGAATCCTTGATGCACGTGGTGGCCGGAGTGAGACATCTGCTGACTTGGCTGATCTGTGTCTGCTGGAGGCTTTGGGGTCTTGACGCTGATCAGGATGCAAGGTGTTCCACTGGTTGGATATGATATGCAACCGGGGCAGGATTGGTTCACTGACACTTCAGCCATCAAACTGCCAACTGTTAGCTGGCATGACAGTGGAATCCCAGCAGCATCTCAATGAAGTTTCAACATGCAGACGATTTGAAACAGCCATTGTAGGATTCTTTCGATGTATGTGGCTGGTGCCAAATCACACCACTGCATGTCCGGAGTTGCTGCCCTTAAGACATTGGGGTTATTGGAGCACCAGTGACAATCGCCTCAGCGTCACATTTGCCATCATGTCCACTGCCCAGCCATCACTGCATCACTGCATCATGGTATCATGTCCGTTTCGTTTCACAGCATCTGCTTCTTCGTTCGTGTGAAAGGATGTGATGAGCCCAGTTTGCGATTTTCACATGATAGCCGGCTAGAGGACTGCAGAGATTTGAGGGCAGCATGATTGCTCTTTCTCTCCCCTCTTTTTGTTGCTTCAGCAACTGGACTAGTGATCATGCTACGGCCAGTTTGCAGCTGAGGGGCTGTTGCTTCTACCTGAATTCACACATGGCTCCACAGAAATCCATTTTTTTTACTTCTAACTCTTCGATTCTTCCGCTGATTCTAGTGTCATTTGTTATATTGTTCCACTACCTGACCCGGTGGTCATGGGCTGACCTCCACCCTGGCTGAAACCGGCTCAGCCTTCCGCCAAGTGGCAATCTCCGGAGGCATCGGCTTCGCTTTGCCGTTGCAGCTTCGCTTGAAATCTGCGATCATTTTCAACGCGGTGTACATGTCCTTATTGGAGCCAGGTGACCCCGGTGACCCCAATCGTACCACTTGGGGGATTTCATGGGAAATGCCGTAAGGACTCCTCAACTCAAATCATGCCATGGTACATGTTCTTCCATTTATCCCCAAAAGTACCCAAAAAATCCCAAAAGTAGATCAACTATGATCAACTATACTATGGATACCTTGATACTGGTGATTTTGGGAAGAATTTCAACGCGGTTTGGATCTGCAATCAGAATTCTGGGCACTAGGGATCCCACAATGCGCGGTCGCGTTCCCTGGACATCTGCCTGTTTTGGACGGACTCGGGATCTGATCTCCTCCTTCCACTGGTCAGCCTCAAGAGGTTTGGTCCATTTTGGATCCAGTTGGACTCTGGGGTGTGCTTGAATGCTTGAACCATTATTAACCAATATTAACCATTATTGAACCATTATTTCATCAGTACGAACTTGGCAAATTTGGGAATCCAATGGAATCCAATCCACACGGTCACCACGCCAAGCGACAGCTTGCTTCGCAGCAGCGATGCGTTCCTGGGGGCGCCCCCAGGGGCTACTCTTGGGCTACAGCAAAAAGACCAACAGTGCCAAGACCAAACGGAAATCCAGCCTGCTCCCTCTTGTCATCATCATCTTCATTGCCAAAGGCAAATGCATTGGCGAGCTTTGCCTTTCTTCTCTTCTCTTCCTCATGATTGCAGAATCTAGAATTTCAAAATAATTCCTAAAAGTGTCTGTCATAATCAAGACACAAACCATCGGAACTGTCCTATGATCCTATTTCATGGGTAACATGCGGATTTTCCCTTGCCATGTTTGATAACCAAAGGATCAACGTGACTTTCACAGCTCCGGTCCTCGTTGCGTTTCTTCTTCTCTTGCGCAGCTTGACGCTTCTGCGCCTCGTACTCGGTTGCCTCCTCCAAGACCACCCAGCCGCCTGCATCCTCCCTTAGCCAGACATCTGGGATGTGTCATGATGTGTCAAATCGAAAAATGCAGAAATGCATATAAATGCATTATTTGATTATTAACAATCAATTGATCAACATGATTATAATACATCAGAAAAATCAACTCCGTCAACTCCGAGGCCACGGCTTTCCCGATGCTGAGGAGACCCAACCTCCGGTCTCCTCTGGCTCGAAGGAACTCACAGCCGCAGCCTTGAAGCGCCACAGCGCAGGGAAAATGTGACGTAAATAATCTATAACTAGTTGATCAATGTTGATCATGAATAATCAAGAAATGGACAATGATGGGAACATATGTAACTATAATATACTATAATATACTATAATAATTGATCATCAATAGTACCAAAGTTACAATAGTTGCAGTACCCTAGTTATCGATAGCTGATCTCAAATTCTCCATTGAAATCATGCCAAGGCACCGCGGGGCGCTCGGAGTATCTCTCGGAAGTCCCGCCTGGCAATGGGGTTTTACCATGGTGGAAGCATCAAACATATCTGGTTCATACATGTTAAGACCCCCATGTTATGCAACCCCACAATGAGCAAATCACATACAGTACTACTAACCCACGGTTTCTGGATGGAAAAATTTAATCTACGGGAACCGGATTAGTAGGATACATGTGCAATCATTGGGGCGCTATCGACTGGCTGTTTCCCCGGTTGACACACTTGTACCTATCGCATTATCAACCTTTCTCGTGTAAACTGCGTCTCTTGCTTGTAAAGAGACCCCACACATACCAACCAAAAGGTCAGGGAAGAACCTGCACTAGTAAAGGAACCTGCAACGATGCTTTCAAGCAGGAAGGTGAAATAAAGAGAGCATAGGTGAAGCCAACATGTTCAAGGTCAGCACTTGCAACTGCAAGAAGCCCAAATCACGCACTACACCCAGCTGGTGCTGATTCCAATTTTCCTAATGGAAGCACACATGAACAAAATGCATGTGTCTGAGAATGTGGTACTACAGTAGCCATTCAATAGGGAAACATGAGGTTGTAAACATTGCAAAAACCATGGGATTCTGGCCTTTTCCCCATACCAAAACCAGTTAACCGAAACCTGGACGCAGCCGGACGCGGTTCTGCTCCTGCTTCCCATTCCTCTTCTCTGAGCGCTTCCTCAAATCGCCTTCGAGCTCCACGACTCGACTCAGGCCGCCGGGGTGCCTGCAGGATCTGTCATCTTTGGAAACAGCGTGCCCTTCTCAGCATAGCCAAGATAGCTATTCTTAGCTGTTCTCAGCATTTGCACTTGACCTCCAGCTGATATCAAGGCAAGTTGAAATTCCAGGAATTATCAGTGATATACCAATATACTGATCATATACCATAATAAACTAAGATATCCAAGCAATCTACGACAGGTTTTAGATTCCAAGATGTTCCGCGCCCCTCCTCTTCAGATCGTCGGCTCACAGGTGGAGAGCGACTCTTCTGGGGCGTGCGCGACCTGTCAATGGATTGGGGGAAACCATTGACAGGTTTAGCAGGTTTAACAGGTTTAACACCCAAATATGGAGGAGAAACATGGATAAACCATGATAAACCATGGTTTCAGGGAGGTGTCCTGTAAGCCTGTAAATGTGCCCATCATCCTCAATGCTCGGAAGTACTAACTAATCATTTCAGGGAGACGGGCGATGCCCCTCGAACCTACCAGTTCCACTTCACTTTGCTCCCACCGACCACACCTTTCTTTAGCATAGCGTCGATCCTGCAAGCTGCGCTTGGAACTGTGGCACTGTTGGAACCATCTCTAGTTCAACAGCAGTTGGAAACCTTGGTTTTCGACTTCTCGAAAAGCCCAAGCCATCCTGAACCTCAAATATCATAGAAGGATATTATGATATCTTCGATCTCTGAAACGATATCTGGGTGATTTACACTTAATAATTCACGAACCTGAAATAAAGAGTTTTGAGATAACCTCGACTAATAATCATTCCAGTGACGTCGCAGTGAGGTCATTGTAATTTTATCCAAGTAATATATCCCCATTATTCCCATTGTTGATTGTTAAATCCACTTAAATAGCTATTATAAAAACGGCATCAAAATCAAGACCTTGTCACAAAATCTTCCTGGGACAGAAGCCGCATCAAGCTTCGCCTGACTCTTCTCTCGAGAGCGGCGCCGGGAGCGTTCAGGGCTGTGCTTACGCCTGGGCAACAGGACAAAAGCTGGGTCAAAAGCGGGGAAATGTATTGTTAACCAGTGGATTTGGGGTTCCAGAAATAGAGGTATCCCAATATAGCTGGATGGTTCAAAATGGAAAATCCTATTTAAAATTCGATGATTTAGGGGTACCCATGACTTCGGAAACCTCCATTTCAGGATACTCTAATTTCAGACAAACCCAAATGGAGAAACCCATTGGACCCACAGATTTCGATATAGCATCTAATTTTTGTGCCTATACCCACCTATCAAACACCTATTCTTGAGACACCCTCATGCCCACACCGCGAATGCCTGGGTTCCTTCTCTCGAATTGGCGGTTTGTACTCCTCCGGATACCTTGGTCTGTACGGTCCCATGTCTCCCTTCAAAAGTTGATCCGCAACTTCAACGTGTTGCTTGCAAAGTTAACATTTTGTTTCCATTTGCTCGCACAAAAAGCTCAAAAAGTCTTGAGATGGGAACTTCCCCTTGTTCTCCAGAAAACGGGCCACCTCCTCTTGGCTTTTGCGCAAAGCCTCTGATGCTTCGAGTGGATATTATGTCCACACCTGATTGGAATATCCTAAGAGCATGCCTTCAAAGGTAACTGAAACGAATGGGATTTCTAAAATGATGATAATACACTGAATTAGTGGGTATCCCATTTTCGGACAAACCCAAATTGCACAGAAGCCTGTTGTGAAACATCTAAGTTCCGCAGGGCAACCCATTACTATTGGGTTAGCACCGCTTCCTACCCTGTGCCTTTTCTCGTTCCTCTTCGTCTTTTTTCCTTTTCCTTGGGAGATTGCAAGTGATGGTGACCTGAAGTAATTGACTTGGAAATGAAAAGATTAACAATGTAAAATAAATGATACCAAGTATCAGCAGCTTCTCCTTCTCGTCTTTCTCGGCCTTTCTGTCTCGAACAGATGTGACCTCAGCCAATACAATGCATCCTGTTCCTATGACCTTTCAGACTGCATCAACAATCATTGCTATCACAATCTTCTTGCAGTGCCAATTCGGTATAAAGACTAGCCATCACCACGGTATGGAGTGAGCAAACTTTTTGCAATCAATGTCATGCCATGTGCAGATCTCCTGTCACTGTACCAAAGAGCCCTGCCATTCCCGGCCATTTCTTGTTGCCTTTGTACGACATGGTAGGCAATCAATGAGGCTTTTCTCAGAAACAGCACGAAAATTCCTTCAGCGTCAGGTGTCTTTTCGGACGTGCAGCTACCGATGAAGCAGTAGATGTATTGCATCAATCAAGCTGCAGGAATCTGAGTGCGCTCAGTTGGTTGGAAGTCTGTGCGGACTAGAGTGCTGAGTGCATTAAGACTGTTGGTGCTTGCAAGAAATCAGATTTGTTCTATCCATCCATTGATTTCATTCTGCCTGTGTTCGTCTCACAGCTGGTGAGCCAAACTGCGCTAGTGACTCAGGTATCTTGTCCCATACTCCCTGAGCTATTTCCTCTCAACAAAGACTGTAGATGACTCTGCGGGGCACGACCCTAAACACCAAGCTGTCTTGACTGTCTTGACTCGGCGTAGCTCAGGGTACCCAGCTTTGGGATCCTGATGACTTCCTTGCCTTTCAATGAACTTCCATAGGTAGAGCCTCCTACTTCAAATGACCATGTGGGTCCATTGCTACTCTCCTGGAATCCAACCTCACGGCGGGCATCTTGGCAGCTCGATTCGGCGCGGACAGCGGCAGGGCCTGACATGGGAAACCAATGGATTGAATGCAGCCTCCATTTTGTGGCTTAAAGGTGGAAAGATTTAATGAGTCTTAATGTGACCTATACATCATGACCCAGTGTGCTCCATCATTATTTCACCAATCAGAAACGTGCCATGGCCGAGATTCACGGGGAATGGCAAGGTTCCTGCGCAGGCCGAGTCCGAAAACTGGACCTCTGCGATGAACTGCGGTCTGAACCTTCGGTTGAACAGCTCCAGGATGTCACTGCGAGCCCGCCTTTTCACGTCGAGTCCTCAGAGTCCTCAGAGGCTTTCTTGCGAAATGTGAACAAGTTTCTCTCCTGAATCTGATCGTTCTGAAATTTCGTTCACAAAGCGCTCGGCTCTCTGAATCGGGACACTGCGGGAGTCCGCAGCCCCATTTCAAGCCCCCAGTTTGCGGCTCAAGTGGCCCACGGGACACCACGGGAGACCAAAAACAACAGCCCAGAATCCAGAATGTAAGGGCAAGACCACAAATGGAATGAACCATCAACCCCCATTCTTTCGGATTTCAAGGCTCCTCCCCCACAAATCCCTGCATTGCTTCATCCCGTGGAACACCTAAACTTGTTGCTAGTCTCCTGCGTCTTCACCGAAATTCAATAGATTGCGTACCCAAAAAAAAGGTTCCCCCTCTACAGCAAATGAATGTAGCATGCGGTACACATGGGTCACAGGGCGTCATGGTATAAGCACCTCAACATAATACAAGCACCTCAACATAATAACGTGCCTCATTTCTGTAGAGAGACAATCTAGATCAATCTAGCCACAGGAGACCAGCAACTCCCTCGCATTTACCAGAGATGTCATGCCTGCCGTGACACCCCATCCTAAGCTTTCAGGAAAAAAATGGGGGCAGAAGAGGTTTCAATGAGGCTTCAAGAGATCATTCCTGCATAGATACTTAGCTTGAAGAAAAAGGTCAGAGGATAATGGGGGGAAGCAGGGGGTTCCATGGATCACCTCTTTTAAGAGTCACGGCAGGCAAGACTTTTCGCCCAAACACACGAGGAGATGATCTACGCGCAGCTCATGTGGACTGTTTCGTGACTATAGAAATCCGTTTCAAGCTTCTGGGCAGGTGAAATGTGACACCATGGACTAAATTCTGCAAAGTCAGCTCATTTGTACCTGCACCTTTGGATACCTTTGGCCCCTTTAAGATTTTTGGGCAACACACTTTCCAACAAGGCGCATTGGTAAAAGAGTAAAGGGACCCAGGGACACTGGCTTGTTGTGTGATGCAGCAAGGTTCTCCTCATGCTGGTGGTTGCGTGGGCTTCAGCAAACCACTACGTCCCAGCGAATGTCTTCATTCGTCTGCTCGTGCTCCGTTGGCCAAATATGGACGCAAAAGCCACCTCCTATGCCAAGGCCCTTAGCCGTTTTTTGGTTCAATCCTTTTGCGACTTTCCGCGCAGATCGCGCGACGGATCCTGTCTCTTGCGTCCCAAGCTCACATGTTGGTCCTACCTACACCAGCTCTTCTGCTGCTTTCCGTTTGTAATTCGCGAATGTTCCCAAAATCCACGCCTGTAATGACTCTCGTGGCGTGAACCAAAGTGAAAAATGTTTGAAATTGTCTTATATTGCCCATTACATTCCAATACCTTATTAAGATCTATTGCGATCATCTGATAAACCGTCCCAGGCTGTCCCAGGTGTCTCAAAATGGCAGCCGCACTTTTGCCGGTGCAGAACATTGCGGGATCAGGATCGAGCTGCTACCCGCCATCACTGGCTCCAGATTTCATGGTCCATGGGTTTTCACTGCGAACATTTGAACGTAGATAAGTAGTAGATACTGTACAAAAAGCCATACTATAGCATGTACTAGTTACTCAGTTACTATTCTACGAAAGGTGCCGAACAGCCATTTCCATTCTGGCCAGAGTTGACCTTGCAGTGTTGCCGCCAGATCTGTGCCAGAAATATTGTTTTTTTTTTTACCGCAGGTGGACACAAACGCAAATCCCAAACATGGCATCTTTAAGAAGTGCTTAACAGCTTCACAGGATATTCAGGAAATCCAACTGCAAAAAATGCGCCGTTTTCGATAGATTCATGAATCTTGCCAATCTTCAATCCTTGAGCTTTGGGACTTGCGATGAGCTAAACTCCTCTCAGGGTGGCATGAGATACCCCGCTGGTGGCGGCGCATAGCCAGGAGGAGGATACCCTGCCGGTGGCGGATAGCCTCGCAGAGTCTTGTCGGGTGCAACTGCACCATAGCCAGGGCATCAAATTGTTACCTAAATGCATCAACAACGTCTTGCAAACGAGCATCTGTAGCCAGCGGGTGGCGGATAGCCCACGGGCGGCGGGTAGCCGGCTGGCTGCGCAGGTGGAGCCTGTCCAGACTGTTCTGAGGGCAGTGGGTGCAAGTTCGCAGCAAAGAATGGGTATGATCAAAATTGGATACTTTGCCAACATGGAATGCTTAGCTCATCATCAAAGTAATGACAAGAATACATGGGTCCCAAACCCAAAGGATGTTGGAAAGCATTCCATCTGTATTGACCATCATCAAAAACTGCAGCAATACCAAACACGAGCGACAAACACAACGATAAAACCAGGAGGTGCAAGCTGTTCATTTCTCCCATCCCATGGCATCTTTCCCCACCTGCGGCGGCGGTGCATACTGCTGGGAGTAGTCATACGCCGGCACCGGATAAGCTGAGCAAACGGAGCGGAGGGTAAGGCAAAGCAGAATTGTTCAATCTGGGCCAGATCCCGAAACAAAAGTTCTGCTATGCTGCTACCTCTGATAAAAAATGTGCGTGGTCGCCTTGTTTCTGAACTTTTTTTCCCAGCCATGGGTATGCTGTCCTTCTTTTCCTTCAAACTTCCATACAAGCACAGTGTGCCTGGCTGAGGTGGAGGTTGTCCATATCCCGGTGGCACTGGATAGCCTGTTCGAATACTTGCAATCGCCCAAAGAAGTCGAAGTTTGAGGCAGGGGAGTTTCACTGAGCCCCCGGCCATATGGATAGCCTGGGGGTGGGGCATAGCCCGGAGGTGGCCCGTACCTCATTGGTCGTGAGTCGTGAGAAGAAATTGTGCCGAGGAAAGCGTCTAGCATGATTATTGTGCCCTCAGTGGGTCCAGCTCGCGAATATTGAATAGTCAACTTTTTTTATGATATAGGCGTTCTTCCATACTCTCATTTTGGCCGATTGAAAGCTTCGAAAAGCCCTTGAAGGAGGAACACAAGATTGCCACTTGGACACAAGAATTCCAAGCCTGATAGAACTGAACCACAACTCCTGCAAAGATCTTCGGAGTGACTGAGCCAGCGGCCCTGGAGGCAGGTAGCCATGAGGCGGTGGGGCCTCTCTTCTGCCCCTGCTACGGCTACGGTCTCTTCTGCCTCTGTCTCGAGCAGGCTCGCGGCCTAGGGCACCAGAGGTGACAAGAGAGCTGCTGTCGCCAGCTTCCAAAGGTTTGACCACAGCAGTATCATCAGCATCTCAGTCAATCCAACAAAGTCGATTTCATCAAGAGTTAGCAGTTGTGCCTTGTTTTTGTTGGGTATTCATAGATATTCATAGATTCATATGGGGATACAATAGATGTATGACATTGTATGACTATATGACTCAAATACAAAACCTACGGATCCATATGGATCGGTCATAACCATCCCCCCCATGACCTCCACGGGCATCCTTTCTGGAGCCCTTTCCTCGATCACCTGGCGCAGGATGGGATGGGATAGATATGGTCAGTGATGGTCAATGATGGTTGATGATGATTAACAATAGGTGATAATAGGTGATCATAGGTGATAATGGGTGATAATATAGGTGATAATAGGTGATAATAGGTGTATATACAGGGACCATTATATATTAACTTTAATCTAAGGACCAACATCAACAGCGGCAAGGACATGGCTCAAAGCACCAGAATCCTGGTTCAGCCTTTGAAGGGCTCGATCAATCATGGATTGATCCTTGGCGTGCAAGTCGCCCAAAGGAAACTGGTATATCTTACTTTGAATTCCAATGAATTCTTAGCTGAAAGCAGTTTCAACCTAAAACATCGAAGGCAGTCTAAGGCCAAGTCAGAAACACTCGGTGAGATCACTTCGATGATCATCTGAGAGTCATCTGAACTCACCTCAAGGCGCTCTGCTGATCATTCAGAGACACTACAGCACCGCTCAATATTGATCAATAGCCGTTCGCATTGGTTTCAAAATCAACAAGGCGGAACAAACCAATCCCATGAATCTGTGACAGCTAAAGAAGAACAAAAAATTACGTGACTTCCAATTCCAAACTGGTCGAGCCTTAAAATTGGTAGGGAACATCCGGATGAACTCAATGAGCTTCTTTGCCTGCCAGTGATCAATGCATGTTTCTGTGCTAACAACCTGCACCTGTGAGTTGCTCTGACATTATGTATGTATACATAAATAAATAAAGAAAGAAATAAATAAAAATAAATAAATAAATGCATAATAAATGCATGCATGCATGCATGCATACATACATACATAGATACATACATACATACATTACATTACATTACATTACATAACATTACATTACATAACATAACATACATCCATACATGCATACATGCATATATGCATACATGAATACATGCATACATGCATACGTGCATACGTGCATACGTGCATACGTGCATACCTGCATACATGCATGCATGCATGCATGCATGCATGCATGCATGCATACATGCATACATGCATACACGCATACATGCATACATGCATACATGCATACACGCATACATGCATACGTGCATACGTGCATACATGCATACGTGTATCCATGCATACATGCATACATGCATACATGCATACACGCATACACGCATACATGCATACGTGCAGACATGCATACATGCATACATGCATACATGCATACGTGCATACTTGCATACGTGCATACCTGCATACATGCATACATGCATACATGCATACATACATGCATACATGCATACATACATACATTACATACATACATACATGAATTACATACATGCATGTATATATGCATGTATATATATATATATGGTTACCGATATATTCATGTATTCATTTTGTTTATCTATTTGTCCATTAATCTATTTTCGTGTCTAGATACGTCTACATGTGATATGTAGCAGGCTCTATACGTGTGAAATGATCTGGTGATATGTGGTGGAAAAAGGGAATAGTCACACGTATGCATATACACATATATATATATACACATATATACATCTCTAACCTTGCAACATTCTGTGTTAGTGCCATTTTCATATACCATACTACATAGACGTGCTGCACATCGATCACATCAAGTGTATATCATTATGTATCTATCCATCCATCCATCCATTCATCCATCTATCTATCTACCTATTTATCGAGCCATCCATCTAATCTCATCTACAGTAATCCAATCTATCCAAAATGTAGTCTACAGGATACACCCATATCTTATCACTCGCTTCATTCACTCGATTGGTTTGTCTGGGAAAATCTTCACCGGAAACCATGGGTTTTCCCCATCAAATCAATAGGTTTGTCCAGTCAATTTCCCCTTCAACTACATCAAATGTAGGGAATTTCCCATCGGTGTTTTCCTGCAATTTTCCCATCGGCATGGATCATAACCATCATAACCCCATGGTTTTTCCTGCAATTTTCCCTCATTTTCCCTGAAACCAATCATAACAAATCCATTTGTCCTGCCATGTTCACTGAAACCATCAGCATCAACTGGCATTTTTTCCATCAATGGATCAGTGAAAATGGATCATTGATTGTGATCATTGCCATTTTTCACTGAAACCATCAGCATAAACTGGCATTTTTTCCATTCTGGTGGATCTATATGTCTATATGTCCTGATTGGATTGGATTGCTGGTCCAAAAAGTGAAACCATTTTTCACTGAAACCATCAGCATAAACTGGTGGTTTAACCATTCACAATCAATCCAATGAATGGATCTGAATGGCACCTGGTGGAGGCTTTGCTTCACTTTTTGCACCCGTGGCTCCTGGCCCAACTCCTGCAGCTGGACCTCACGAAGCTCACGCTGCACGGTGGAAACGCGACGCGTTGAAGGCTCACAAAAAAAAAGTTGATGATATGGGATTATAATTATTATATGAGATATTATTATGAGATATTATGAGATATCTAACAATATCCCCAAAAAATCCGTTTATTCTAACCAGTCAACAATACTGAGGATATGATGATATGATATGATATATGATATGATATGATATATGATATATGATATATGATACATGATGTATGATATATGATATGGGATATGGGATATGATAAAACATATAAGTCCTTGAAGAATATGGGATGTTCAGCGGATTAGTTTAAGGGAATATTTGCAGGAAACCATGGATGAAAATATACGGGGGTCCTGTCCATTTTCCTTGAAACCAATTCTGGGGGATGTCGAACGAGAATGAAATGGGTGTTATTGAAATATTCAACTGGGAAAGTGATGATAATCCATTGGGCTTTCGGATATTGTCAGGAATACAATACGTATTCTGTCGGATAGACATGGGATTCTGGGTGGATGGTCAGTTTGGCACTTCCTGCCGGGTCCTGTCGCTAATCCTATCAAGAGAACCACATCAAATCCTAAGTTCAACTCGTTGTGGTATCAGTTCTACCAACATTTTCAGAATAGGCCAGTCTTGTGTCAAGTCAGCAGCTGCAGTAGCCCAAGGACCAAGGGCCTTGTTCCCACGCCGCTGAAGTGCATAGAGCAGTTCAATGCGAAGGCTCTGCATCTTATCAAACCTGGAGTACTGAGGGGTTCAAGCCATGAAGGCTGGTTAACCAACAAAAATGGTGAATTATAACCAACGGGAAGGGAACAGAGTGGAAAAACCTCATATGATTTTGGGTGTGTCTGAAATTAGGGGATTGACCCAAACAAAATGCAATTTATTGTGCACGCGGAATTTGTTATACCCCATTTTCAGAAAATCCAAGCAACGCGGTTCGTGGGTTTTCGATCCTGGGAGGCAATGCATCCTGCACAGCAGGACATCAAAGACAAGGTTGGGTGTGAAGTTTCTCGGTGTGGAGTTATAACAAAAGCCACTTTTGCATCAAGTAAACTCATTCATCAAGGCTTTCCAAGCTCTTCCTGGCAAGAAATGAAATTGGCATGGGTCAAAATTGGAACCCTCCTACAATATCCACAATTTGGTTGATCGAACCTCAATTTAGACCGAAACAAATGGCACAAAACCTACAGTAATATTGGTCTGACACCCCTGCAGTGTCCTGCTCCCGAATCTCCCGCTCCATATACTCCTGCCAGGATCTGACAATCCGACAGCCATCAGCCAATCAGTGCAGCAGTGCCCAAATTGGAGTTGATCCCCAGCAATGTTGAATCATTGAATATGATTCGTAAATATAACGGATGAGGTTGAACCTCCAGTTGCCTCTGGAAAATTCAGATTTCTCAGGATGTCATCAAATCATATCAGATCTCTACCTTTATGAAACCGGTGGCTTTGGAAAGGGAAGAGTCCTCTACATCCGGCAGCGCAGCTTCCGCCCCCGGCTGCAACTTCACCTCGACAAATCAAAGCGTCGATCAGACATCAACGCTCGAAGTCGATTCCAAAGTTCCTTACATTTCCTTACTATCCATAATCATTATAGGGTGGCACCATCATCCTTACTATTTAATGATGGTGGCACTATTGTTACCTTTACATATCCTTACTATTGAAAGTGCCACCATCATCAATCACTTGGAGGCACCAAAACTTCCGACATGATCACCAGCAGCTAAACAGCCTGCCATCCCCCCATGGTGTTGTCCGGAACCAACTCGAAGATGTCCTCGTATGCCTGAATTTGCGTCGAAGTAGGCCAAAACCACATCGAGTCAGCTCTTGATCCTGACCCTCTGGACATCTAACCTGTCAATGGGATATCCCCGATCTTCACATCAATATATCTTCATTCAATATATCATATCTAATATATCCATCTATATCTATCCATATGTATATATATATATATGTGTGTATATTATGTATAGATAGCTACAAGTCAATCATCCATTCAAAATGGATGAATTGTCCTTTCCAGTACACACGGGAAACCCTCAACTCATGGGCAGCAACCTCGACCAAAGGTATCTCCTGCCTCAAGGATATCAAGTAATCTAACGCTCTTCCACATGTTGTCCTGCATTGATGAAAATCAGATGCTTAGAGCCAAATGAAATAGCTACCTTTCCGTAATCAAACATAGCTTGCTGAACAAATCCACCATTTAGTTCGATGATTTTCTCGTTGAAACCTGCGTTTGAGGATTTCCCCTCTTTATCAGAAAACATCTCAATCTCCTTTAGTGCTGATGGACATTCAGTGTTGACATTCCCAGTCCTTTTTCAGCTGGGAGACTTTGAAGTCCGATCCCAACCTGTGGTGACATCTCTACCGAAAATGGAGGTTTCCTAAAATGGTGGTACCCCTAAATCATCCATTTGAGTAAGATTTTCCGTTATAAACCATCCAGCTGGGGTACCCCCATAGCTAAGGAAACCCCGCTTGAGAAATCCCATGTCAACTGGTTGCATCGTCAAAGGATCATCTCAGTGGGGCACTGCGAAAGTGTGACGCATTTGCCACTGTGCAGCTCAATGGCTGTAAAGAGCGCTCGGACCTTGGAAGTTTTCCGGCGAAACCCATGGGTCCATAGGTCGCTATGGATGGAGGGAGGGATAGGGATGGAGGGATGGAGGAAGGGATTGAAGAATGGATGAAAGATGGATGAAAGTGATGAAAAATGCATGGAAAAACAAAATTTTATGCAAATGGGCATGAAGTCGAAAGAATAGAAATCGGGAACGTTGGCAGTAGATGTTCGAACTCAGGACTCAAAAATATTCAAGAACATGTTTTGGAGGAGCAGCAGCTACAGTACGACTCAATCTGAAGCCGCAAGGTCGCAAAGGACGAGTCATGTTGTTGGCGAAAAATGGAAGCTGTGGCCCGCGTGGCTAAAAAAAACCACACCCCAGGAATCCGTGCCATTTCTGAATCCTTCTTTCGCTCAATCGCTAGAGCTTGGGCAATCAGAGGCGTCCAGAACATGTCTGAATAAAGGCCCGTCTTGCCTGTCAGGAAAGGCACTGGATTTTGCAACTGGAATGTTGAAGTTTCTGAGAAAGAGGGGTTGATGTAGCACCCAACATCACCCAACCCTTTGTAAATCACCTTTCCCCACTGAGAACACGGTGGCCGCCTTTGCCTTTGCCTTTGCCAGGCGGAATGTAGGTGCCTCAGTGAATTCAATGCCGTCCCCAGGTATGCTATGAGCATTGAATTCAATTGCTCAAGTGCCAGCTGTTGAGGAATTGTTAGTTGGTGCATCTTGAAATATGTTAAGTTGTTCCTTTCCCATAACTTCCCACAAATGCCATCTATGAACATCGAGTCCACCCCAAACTACCGCCGTAGTCCATGTTCCCTGAGTTTCCCAGCTTGTGCGCATCCTCGCTTTTCTTCCGCCACCAACCTAACATAGGTCGGCTGTACCGTCGTTTTTATTGACAGTTCATTCATTGGACTGGTTTGAGGGCAGATTACAAGAAACCATCTGTTTTTCCCAGCAGATTTTAAGGAAAATCCTATTACTTCAAGTCTAAAATTGAAGGTAAACTTTGCACGAAACTTCTATATTGGATGTCAAAAATATTTTATCCAAGCAAAATCCTGAAAAACCAGGCCCGCCTGGCCAACGGCTCTAGGTGCCTCTCCAGGAGCAGCATCCACCACCACGCTGTTGACCTCCTGCAAGGGCCAACACGTCGCTTGTAAGTCCCTTGATTGTTTTTCCATGGGTTATAATCCCATTTGAAACTGGGGTATTGTTCTGTCTGTGCGCATGTGTGTTTCCACTTCCGTTTGAAATCTGGGATATATGATGTGTGTGTGTATGTATATATATATAACCCAAACTCCTAGTTTGGAGTCAGTTTCTGAAGCACTGTACTAGTTTCACTTGATGCCCCCCCCTCAATCCAGGAATTCCATGCATGACTTCCCCCATAAGTACAAATTGCCATAGAGCTGTGTTTTACCGAGTTTTTTCACATTCAGTTCCTCAACCCGGTGCCTCCTCAGCAACCTTGGTCTCGTACCCCTCCAGGCCGCCAGCGACTGTCAGAATGTTGTCCTTAATCCGTGAGATCTTGAAAGAAAATCCAGCAGATGTCTACTCAGCAAATGCTCTACCTCCTGGCTGGGTATCAATGCTGCTGCATTCCATAGCACTATGTAGCACTGTAGCACTACGTCCACTCAAAGCCTTGCAGACAAGATGCTGGCAAGCCGTCGGTCGGATTCATCATCTGGGCAGCCTGAGAAATGAATGCGGCAGCACGTTTTGAGGTATCATTAGTAATGAGTACGGAAGGAAGTTTGGAAGTCAAACTTCCGACTTATGGACAGATGAAGCAACAGTGGCGAGAAGAGCCAGAAAGGACAAAAAGTCAAGAAGGGGAAAAATCAGAAAAGAGCGAATAAGGATAAAGAAAATCTCCGCCAAAAAAACTAGCCACGCCGGGAAACACTGTGTTTTTCCAATGTTTTGCGGCTCCGGATGGTCGAAAAGTAGGCTCGCTAAAGCGACGGGGCCGTATGAGAAATTTAAAATTGCGCGCCACTGTGGCGCGAAGCACATGTCGAAGTCAAAATGCTAAGAAACACCGATCTCAGACCATGTTTGGAAGTTGGAATGTGGGAAAAGCGCACGCGGCTGCGGCACGAAACACATTCCAAAGTAAAAACTGCAAAAACACTTCAGCGTCAGGGCACCTTTGGAACTTGCGATGTGCAAGAAGTGCACGCGGCTGTGGCGCGAAGCACATTTCGATGTCAAAGTGGTAAAAACACTTCAGTATCGGAGTACTTTTGGCAGTTGGCGCTAAAAACACCACATGTTTGAACCACTTTTGGAAGTTGAGATGTCGAAAAAGTGCACGTGGTTGTGGCGCAAAGCATATTTTGAAGGCAAAATGCTGAAACACTAGACGTTCGGACCGCTTTTGGAAGTTGAGATGTCGAAAACATGCACGCCGTTGTGGCGCGCAGCACATTTCGAAGTGAAAAAACTAAATGTACCATATGTTCGCACCACTTTTGGTTGTTCAAGCGTCATTTCTGTGGCAAGCCCAATGGATTCCGCACCTTGCCGAAGGTAAGCAAAACGTGATGGTTTTGTGGCAGTTGCAAAAACGATGGCAGACGTGGGACGTTGGAAGAGGATCTGCAAAGATGCATTTTGGGTGGCAGGCGCAATTCAAGACACATGCGCATCAGAGATATTAGGAGGTCAGCGCTGATATAAGGGTTGCATTTTGGAGCATCAGATCTTCAGGTTTGCTAAGATGATTTTGTGTCACAGGTGCAGCACTTCGTGTGACCTGGCCTATTTTTGCGTGGCACGCGCAATACTTTAGACAGCTGGAGTGGAAAAATCGCAAAACGCACTGGTAACGACGCCATCAGCTCTGCACTCAGCTTTCCATTTTTGAAGGAAGTCTTGCAGAATTGTTTTGTTTTGAACATTGTCAATGTCAAAAATTGAAGACGTCTGGTACACTTGCTCCGTTTTTGAAGCTCGAAACTTTATATTCAGAGTCAGATAGATCGATAGATCGATAGGTATACTCATGGGGGGGACAGTAGAAAGACATATAGACAGATAGATAGATAGCCCGATACTCAGATAGACAGATTGTCAGATAAATCAACAGATATAAAGACAGACAGATAGCAGATAGATAGATAGATCGATAGATAGATAGATAGATAGAGAGAGAGAGAGAGATAGATAGATAGATAGTCTAATTAGGTAGATAGACAGACAGATAGACGTATGGACAAATAGATACACAGTCAGTTAGTTAGATAGATAGATAGATCGATAGATCGATAGATCAATCGATCGATAGATCGATAGATCGATAGATCGATAGATCGATATCGATAGATCGATAGATCGATAGAGCGATAGATCGATAGGTAGATAGGTAGATAGGTGGATAGATACATAGATAGATAGATAGATAGATTGATTGATTGATTGATTGATTGATACATAGATAGATAGACAGACAGATAGATAGACAGACAGACAGACAGATAGATAGATAGAAAGATAAGGAGATTGGGAGATAGGGAGATAGGCGGAGAGAAAGAGAGAGAGAGAGAGAGAGAACTAGACAGAGAGACAGAGAGAGAGTGATGGACAGATAGATAGATAGATAGACAGTCAGACAGGCAGGCAGACAGATAGATAGACAGAGAGAACGAGACAGAGAGAGAGAGAGAGAGATAGAGGGAAGAAAAAGAGATAGAAAGAGAGAGAGAGAGAGAAAGAGAGAGAGAGAGAGGAAAAAAAAAGAGAAAGAGAGAAGGAGACAAAGAGAGAGAGAGAGAGGAGAAAAAAAAAGAAAGAGGGAGAGAGAGAGAGAGAGGAGAAAAAAAAAGAAAGAGGCAGAGAGAGAGAGAGAGAGGGAGAAAACAAAAAAAGAAATAACTTAGAGCCTCAACCACCTTTCAGTCCATCAGTTCGCTCTGCCATCCATGAATCACACCACCTCTCCTATAGGTTTCCTATCTTTGAAACTTCCGCCACCGCTTTGTGCGGTGCTACTGGCAAATATGACTTTAAAGGTTATTCGGTTTTTCGGTTCAGAGGGGTTGTCTTTCTCTGAACTTGGTCTCTTCAAACGATCATCTTCAGTCTGAATAGGCTTTGGAGGTTGTGCCGTGTGCATTCCAGAGTTTAGACGCACTGACTCAAGCAGCTTCAATTTCCAGCCTCGGTTAGCTCGATGGTGTCACCGGCAAACTCGAAGAGATCAGCTCTCTCGCCGAGAACTGACTTCCTTGGCTTTATTACAGGCTTTAATAGGGCACTTGGAATGCTCTGCTCCAGCAAACAAATTGCCAGACTTCGGTTTTGGGAGAAAAATGGAGAAAACATCATTGAGCATCTCATGTCTAATCTCTTGAAATTCTCCAAGCTTCAGCACTGCCGTCTTGGTCACACCTTCAGTGGAGCCAGTCGTTTGCAGCTCCGCCCAGGCATCCTTCACAGCCTGACCCACACGGCCCTTCGGCCGCGTTCAGCACGGTCTCACGGTCCCGGCCTTGGGAGTGGTCACGGAAGACAACGGCACCTTGTTCTGCGGAACACTCTGAAGGTGTTTCCAAACCTCGGCCGTGCAGAAACTGCAGAAACTGATCACACCAAGGTAAGTCATGAAGTCATCAGTCTACCTTCCAGATCTTCCAGGAAATGGTGTGCAAATCTCCTTGCGGCTTGCAAATGCATGTGCAATTCGCTCACTTTTTCTGGGAACCGTCACAAATCACTCAACTCCTTCACCATTCTGATTCGTTCTTGATAAATTATTTGTTACGCACACGTTGATTCCCTCGTGTGCGCGGCTGCGCTCTTTGCACAGCGCATTTCATAGGTTTGCACTGGGTTGAACATCAACAAAGCGACAAAGGATCGAAGTCAAGGTCAAACGATCATAGTTCCAATAACAAGATCAACTTTCCTATCCTTGGGGCCCCTTTGGACCACCATCAGGATATTTCAAGTGGCCGAGATTCCAGCCACCAGAACAGGACGATCATCGGTTGAACCTGTTTCTTCAAAATGCACCACCAAGGAGATTTCGCGCGAGGTGTCGCACTGGGTTCTCTCCACTGCCGCCATGGCCACATCTGAGGCTTTCGAACCAAAGAGCTCGAGTCTCACGGTGTTGGCACGACTGGAGCCATGCATTGAGGTCACTGATCTGAGTCGATACGACATTGCAGCAGACAGGGCTGTTCCATTGGTGCCAGCGCCTACCCGAAACACTTCAGGATCTGGATCTTCCTTCACAGGATAATCCCAAACGACCCGCAGTCGCATGCGGGCATCCCGCTGCCTGGGTAGCACCTGAGCTGTGGTGCGGATGTCCTGTTTATTGAGATAGGCCAGGAGATACAAAAGTTTGCTCCTGGCTGCAGCCTTCAACAGCTTCACATCCACAATCCGGCATCCCCCACTTCCCTCATCCGCCAAGGCTTGCATCGCGCCGGCTATGTTCTGAACATCCGACTCAGTTGTCACGTTGAAGCTGGGGAAGAGGTTTGGCACCAAGGGGGACCGGGAAATGAAGATCATCTCTTCACCTTTCAAAGCAACAGGTAGCGATAGGGAAAAACGACAGGACCATGATCATCAGAGGATAAAATTGCGTCCTTTCTACCTCCAAGTGGTCTCCCATTAGGCTAACTCTCAAAACACCAATCTACTAATCCCTTCTCCCTATTACTAAAACTCCCCTAAATAATAAATTAATAAATACTACCCAAGATTATTTGGTTTGGCAAATTTCACATTTGTCAATTTGACTTTTCATTGATCCCCTTTAGAAAACAATTTAAAAATGAAGGTCCATTTAAAGGTTCTACCCCCTTAATAATTAAAACTAGTTAACCCCGGGGTGTTTTTTATTAGGGTCCCTTGGTTAAAATCGAAAATGATAGTTTGTTTTAATTAAGTTTTTAATTTAATGTTAAGGGAAAGCTTCGAAATGATTTTTTTGGCAATAATTTTATTAGATTTAGAAAGGCAAGTCATCAATTTTGAAATAGAAAAAATAATTAAGGTTTTTAATTTAATAGTAGGGGAAAGCTTCGAAAGCCAATTGTTAGCAATATTTTAATTATATTTTGGAGTTTAATCGATTTTGAAATCATTTTTTTTGTTTGTTTTATTAAGGTTTTTACTTTAATATTAGGGGAAAGCTTCGAAATCCAATTTTGGGCAATATTTTACTTAGATTTTAAAGAGGAATTTAATCGATTTTAAAATCGAACATTTTAGCTTTTCCAATTAAGGTCTTAAAATTGATATGCGTGGCCAGCTTCTCCCCCCGAATATTAAATACCCCCTAACAATAAAAACTACCCCTCGGTTTTATTTTTTGGGAGGACGGAGGGGACGTTTAATATTAGGGTGAATGGAATTACCCTCCCCTTCGCGCACGTGGACGTGGAGGCCAAAAAACGTACAGTTAAAGGACCGGATAACCCCACATGTTACCAACTTCTTTAGACTTAGACTGACCATAAAAGAGCAAGAAGGGAAGAGGAAGTATAAGAGTGATGGAGCGGTGATGGTGGGTGAGTTTGTGTGTATGTATGTATGTTCATGTACAGTGAGTGAGTGAGAGTGTGAGTGAGTGATGCGAGTGTGGTGTGTGTGAGTGAGGGATGTGAGAGTGAGTGAAAGTGAAGTGAAGTGAAGTGAAGTGAAGTGAAGTGAAGTGAAGAAGCGAAGTGAAGTGAAGTGAAGTGAAGTGAGTGAGTGGGTGAGCGGGGGAGCGAGGGAGCGAGGGAGCGAGGGAGCGAGGGAGCGAGGGAGCGAGCGAGTGAGTGAGTGAGTGACTGACTGAGTGAGTGAGTGAGTGAGTGAGAGTGAGTGAGTAAGTACATGTATTGTCCCACGCCTGCCACGCAAAAGAGGCGGAGCCCGAGGGACGCCAGGGCGTACATCCGACCCCTTGGCAGTGCACATTGTCCCACGCCTGCCACGCAAAAGCGGCGTGTGTGAGTGAGTGAGTGAGTGAGTGAGTGAGTGAGTGAGTGAGTGTGTGTGAGTGAGTGAGTGAGTGAGTGAGAGTGAGTGAGTGAGTGAGTGTGTGTGTGAGTGAGTGAGTGAGTGAGTGAGTGAGTGAGAGTGAGTGCGTGTGTGTGTGTGAGTGAGTGAGTGAGTGAGTGAGTGTGAGTGAGTGAGTGAGAGTGAGTGATGGAGGGAGGGAGGGAGGACGGGAAGGAAGGAAGGAGGACGAGGAGGAGGAGGAGCGGATACAGAACTAAAAACAAAAACCCCACACGTCAATGTGGGGAAAAACATGAACACCACCAAAGACATGTTCAAGATGGCGCTTGCAGTCGAGTATATGAAGGCGGTTGTCTCAGATGCGACTTGGATCCCTGCAGTTTGTGAGGCTGCATGGGCTATTTGCTGAGAAGAAACAATCTAGCATCTTGACCGGGAACACACCGGTCCCAAATCCAGACCCCAGACAATCCAAGGAGGAATCTGCTCAGAGAATTTCAGCGGCCATACTGCATGGGCTATTTGCTGAGAAGAAACAATCTAGCATCTTGACCGGGAACACACCGGTCCCAAATCCAGACCCCAGATAATCCAAGGAGGATGCACGGCAGGAGAATGCGGATGAAGAGCAGGAACAATAGGACTCAGAGGAGTTTGGGCCCATCCAGAACTTCGGCACAGCCAGTTTGAGTGAGTGAGTGAGTGAGTGAGTGAGTGAGTGAGTGAGTGAGTGAGTGAGTGAGTGAGTGCGTCAGTGAGTCAGTCGGTCAGTCAGTCAGTGAGTGAGTGAGTGAGTCAGTGAGTCAGTGAGTCAGTCACTCAGTCAGTCAGTC